TTTCGTGAATATGACTTTTTTGTCATCGCGATTTTGACATCTCTTGTCATGTTAATTTGACACTGTTAAAATTAGTATTCACAAAATGATATCGAAAATTCAAAGAGCAAATATTTAAAATGTAACGCATTATTAAGCGCGATTATTCAGCTTTTCTGGTTTTAACAAAAACATTTTTTTTTTAAACATTGCTTTAGTTTTAATTTTCTTACATTGGTATTAGTCTACGTTTTTATATTTCCAGTTGGCTCTCTAGGCTGTTTGAAATGTTGCTTTGTGTTGCTATATGACAGAAAAACATAATCGTCTTTAGTTTATAGATTTTTTGTGGCATTTCTTGGAATGTCGTCTAAATTGAACATTGCTGAGATTCGAATGGAAAAGAGAACACCGAACATTAAACGCGAATAGTGGACATTCGAATAGCGTTCTAATTTAGCGCGATTATTTTAAATTATTAATCGCATTTTCCCTGTGTTTTACTTGTACTGAAGCTTTTTTTAACAAACGTTTTCATGTAAATTCTTCTCTTTTAACTGGTAAATTATTCGTTTAGATATCATACAGGCTATTTTAATAGTTTATCACGTGCTTTTTAATAAATAAATAATTTAGTTTTCAGTGAAGCTGTGTTCATAACATCATGCAACTATTCTATTATACTGGGCTAATATGCCGTTTCAGTGTTCTAATTTATGCCAATTTATTTCTTCTAGCGTTTTCATGATGCAGTTTTTGGATTTGTGGACGGCATTCATCCTCTGTAAGGATTTTTACCTTACTTGAGAAAACCTTGCTTACATGACATCATACTGAGAGGAGAACTGGATACCCAGCTTCCCAAGTCCACCAGCACCCCTCTGTGGCCTGTGGTGGGTTGCACATTGGATATAAAAGTACCAAGCCTGTGTGAACCATGGATGACCTAATCGCCAGACACTACAACTTCACTGGGAAATTTCGTAATGTTGACAAGGACCCGGGACTCAAAGCGGACTCTGTCGTGTTCATCATCGTGTGCTGCTTCATCATCCTGGAAAATGTCCTGGTTCTCCTCACCATTTGGAGGACCAAGAAATTCCACAAGCCCATGTACTACTTCATCGGGAACTTGGCCTTGTCAGACTTACTGGCTGGGGTTGTGTACACGGCAAACATCTTGCTGTCGGGAGCCAACACGTATAAGTTGACCCAAACGCAGTGGTTCTTCAGGGAAGGGAGTATGTTTGTGGCTCTGGCCGCTTCAGTGTTTAGTCTCTTGGCCATTGCCATCGAGAGACACCTGACCATGCTGAAGATGAAGCTCCACAACAATGGCAAAACGTGCCGGGTCTTCATGCTGATCAGCACCGTGTGGTTCATCGCCGCCATCTTGGGTGGCTTGCCCATCATGGGATGGAACTGCATCGATAGCATGAACAACTGCTCCACAGTTTTGCCTCTCTACCACAAGACCTACATCCTCTTCTGCACCACCGTATTCAGCGTCATCCTCATGGCCATCGTCATCCTCTACGCCCGCATCTACGCCCTGGTCCGCACGCGGAGCCGCAAGCTGGTCTTCCGCAAGGTCTCCAACGGTCGCGGCAACAACAAGAGTTCGGAGAAGTCCATGGCCCTGCTGAAGACCGTCATCATCGTGCTGAGCTGCTTCATAGCGTGTTGGGCGCCGCTCTTCATCCTGCTCTTGCTCGACGTGGCCTGCCAGATCCGCTCTTGCCCGATCCTCTACAAGGCCGAGTGGTTCCTGGCTCTGGCCGTGCTCAACTCCGCCATGAACCCTCTGATCTACACCCTGACCAGCAACGAGATGCGCCGGGCCTTCATCAAGATGCTCAACTGCGCCGTCTGCTGCCAACCAGCGGGCAAGTTCTCCAGACCCATCATGGGCGCCGAGTTCAGCAGGAGCAAGTCGGACAACTCCTCCCACCCCAATAAGGACGAGCCCGAATACTCGCCCAGGGAAACCATAGTGTCTTCTGGGAATATCACCTCTTCTTCTTAAAGGGACTATCTTCTTCATCTCCGTCTCAATCCGTAGCAAGTGTTTGTCTGAAGGAGTGTTTATTCCGTTCTCGTCGAACGGTAGCGGAGTGCTGGGAGAAACCAGGATTTTTTTGGAAGCCCCAGCTTGCGCTTGCGTCTTCTGCTATTCCCGACAGACCGCCTGTTGAAACTTTTCCGCAACTTAGGGAAGCACTTAACCAACTGTTATTCATTGTGTTGTTGTTGTTTTTTATCCCAGTCAAATGGATTCCTGTAGGCAAGCACTTTTCAGGGAATTGCTCCTTGAGAACAACATAGGCATTACTGACTCGGTCTAAAATGGATTGATGTGAAACATACTAGGTTGTTTGTACTACATTTTTGAAATTAAATTAAAGAAATGCGGTCGAGAGGTACTTGTGTTTCTTTGAGTTAACTTAACACTATGGTATTAGGATGTTATTTCGTCCTCTGATCCAGAATGTATTTTGTAAATGTATTTGTTTTTTTTCTTCACCTTTCAACAAATAAACTGTTGTTGTAGAAAAGTGTGCATGTACATTAGCTGTCAATATTAATTTATCTTGAAACAGTTCCAATAAATTTGAAACTTGGAGGGATGGAACTAAGTGTTGTGTTTATTAATTGTAAATATATTTTATTATTTTACTTTGATAGTATGCCATAGCTTGTGCACATTGATCTGCTCTGCTCTGCCACCCAGTTTTGTCTTTGCTGGGTTGTATGGCTCAACTCTAATGAAATTAATTTGATGGAATGGAAGGATCGGGAGAATTTAAACTGACATTTTCTGATGGCTTGTCACAATAAAACAGAACTCCAGCTGGGTTGTTAATGTACAGGCTTCTATTTATCCATATGCCCCTCGTACATCAATCAAATCATGAGCCAATTTTATCCTCTGTTCACTGTTGCACATTGTAACATCTAGCCTGTGTTTTTGCTCTGTTAGTTGTTAATAAATATTGTCGATGAAAAAGAAATCAAAGGTGTGATTTATATTTTATGTATTTAATGTTTTGTTTAGTATTTAGAATTCAAATAGTTTGAAAACATGCAGAATCAAATTTATGGAAATAAAGTGAACAACATATTGGACAAAAAGGGTCAGATAATCTTCTATTGAAGCTTAAAATGCTCTTTGCATCATTCTCAAATAATTTTGGAGTACATTATCATCAGGTTTGAGACAAAACCATCAGCTGCTACTGTCCTTAAAGGGATAGTTCACCTGAAAATTAACATTCTGTAATCATTTACTCACAAGAAGATATTTTGAAGAATGTAAGTAACCAAAAGTTGATGGATTCCATTGATTTCCATAGTATGGAAAAAGAAAGTCAATGGGGACCAAAAACGGTTTGGTTACCGAGATTCTTCAAAATATGTTATTTTGTGTTCAACAGAAGAAAGAAACTCATACAGGTTTGAAACAACTTGAATGTGAGAAAATAATGACATTTTGGGGGAACTATACCTTTAAGGCTGATTACCGAATACTGGGACATCTATCTATCTATCTATCTATCTATCTATCTATCTATCTATCTATCTATCTATCTATCTATCTATCTATCTATCTATCTATCTATCTATCTATCTATCTATCTATCTATCTATCTATCTATCTATCTATCTATCTATCTATCTATCTATCTATCTATCTATCTATCTATCTATCTATCTATCTATCTATCTATCGCATCCAGAAAATAAGCATTTTTACAAGTGGTAATAGACGTTTGGACCCAATTGTAGCTGTAACTGAATTTTAATTAAACAATAATGATTAAAGAGATACACTTAAAGTATATGACAATTTAATAACTCATAAAGAGCACAAAATTAAAAAATAAAAATGAATGCAAATGTAACTGATTCGTTCACACTCTACAAAAATACTGTTCGGTTACTTTTTTAAATTGCATTTTTAATCCATTGTTTGGGTTTGTCCATATTTGACCCAAAATTGAGTTACAGTAAAACAACCCAGCCTTTTTTAGAGCGTCAGTGGCAAATATTTTCACATTTATGAGCAAATAGCCCCACCTACTGTATACCTGTTGACATAGCTTATTCATAACGTCATAACTTTTAACAACGCAACACAAGATTTTTACTACTAATAATAATAACAAAAAGCTTAAATGCTTATCAGGTACACATTTACACTGAAAAAAAAAATGCATTTAAAAATACGGACTATTTTAATCTAAAATCGTGATGTTGATCAAAAAGACGCATGTTATGAGTAAACTTTTAGTTTTTAACCTAAAACGCATGTTTCACTCAATTTTATTGTTATAGCCTACTTATAAGGCTAATATTATTCTAATAATAATGCAAATTCAAATGAAATTTCATTACTGATGAAGAAAATGTAAAAGAAATTCTTCAAATTTATAAAATAGAATAGAAATTAGTTAAATGGATGGAAATAAAGATATTGATAACACAATGATGAAAACATTTCTACTGTGAACCAAAGCATTACTATGTCAATAAACACTATATAATTCAATGGCCTATTGCAATAATTTGAATATGATTGTGAACACAATGCAAATAGTGGATGGCAAGGTATGAATAATGGATGAATTATCTAAATAGTTTATTTTAATAGACATGACTAATACTTTTTTTTCATGGGTTCAGTTTGATTGATATCATCATTGAACAGGCCTGCATTGTCCTACAAGGGTCTCTTTTACATGCGTATTTATCCATCAAATGCAAAATATTAATGTTTATTAATGATAGCATACACTATTTTAGTAAGTAAATGTCTCTTGATTTATATCTTTATACTCCCACTCACACATAGGCTACAATAGAGGAGGAAACTGTCACCAAAAAATGCAACCAAACTCTTTACTCACTTTCACGGTAAAGCAAAGCATCATGGGAGCATAAGTCATTTTTGCCGACTTTCCCCATTGCTGGTTACTATGGCTGCGAAGCGACAGAACTACATTTCCCATAATGCCGTTTTCTGTACATTGGCTCATGTTATACATGGGGGGAATGAGAGAGCGGCGGAGGAACCGAAAGCGACAGCAGAATCCCTGGCGATAAGTATAGCGATTAATAGCGATCGTGAAATGAGGGGAATTCAATGCCAAATCCCTCAAAACAGGGTGTCGTAAAAGAAAACTCGCATTTTGGCATTGTATTTTTTAAATATAAATTTGGCGTGGACCTGGGTAAGGCACCTCCCTGTCTTCTCTGCGCCGGGGTGTGTGCGTGTTTTTCGGGTAGGCTTCATCGCATCACCGCGCTGCAGTGTGTTACTAGAACCGAAGTGAGGTGCCACGCCGCCGGTTACAGCTGCCCCGCGCCGTCGCCCGAGACTATGTCAAAAACAGAGAGAGACAAAGTAACACTGCGAATCAAACCTACTGACCTATGCAATGAAAAAATGGCAACTTTGCTCTCTAACAGCTGTGGTTTGTAGCCATAAAGAAGTGCAGCTGTGCCGAAAAATATAGTGGAGCGATTTTTGTGCCTGGTAATAAAAAGGTGAGGTAAAGAAATTGCATCTCACTGCAAATGTAACTTTCTTTAAAAAAAAAAAAAAAAATGGGGGGCCACTTTACATTACAATGTTACCAGTTTAATTGCATACCTACGGAATGTTGTTAATAGAATATGTATGTATGGTGTTTGTGAAACTGCTTGTAATTGAACTGGTTGTTGTCATTGCTTCTGTTAACTCATATTTTTAGTTATCCATCATTCAGCATTGTAATGCAAGTTTTTTAACATGTTGCATTGTAATGTAAAGTGTTACAAAAATATATTGTCAATTGCTGAAGGTAAAATGTAAAATTTTTTGTCCATATTCATGTCCATTGACCGAGAGCTCCCTGCAAAGTGGACTACACGCAGGGTCCCCTATAGTGAAATTTTGTTTTTGCACTGCATATGGCTTAGGTAACAAATGTGCAGTTATATGACACTACAGGAAGTCAGAAGGGGAAATGTACCCACAAGTCATGTTGTACCACATCAAGAATGTGTCAGTATGTGGGCTTTGCTTCAGTCCTGAATGAAAATTCTAGTTGCATTTGTTTTAGCCAAACATATTGTGTCCAAAATCCCATACTTTCAGAGTGTGTACTATTGACCAACATTATTGTTGCCTGTAGCTCTTACATGTGGAAAAGAGCCATCCGTCTAACTATCTTATTTGTCAGCTTTTTGACAGCTCCTCAGTTTCATAAGACTTATGGGATAGGAAGGTGGCCCCTGGCTGCACAACTTAGTACTAACTAACTACAGATGTAATCTTTCTACTACCCAAAATTTTAACCTACTGTTTCAAGCATACCGCATATTCGGACACTGCTCATTTGACATACTGCTTTTTGCATATTATTGAATTAAAGATGTGTGCTGTTTCTATGGTAATGCATATTTATTTATACAAGTTGACCATTGGTTGGCTGAACAGATAGTCTCGCCCTAACTCGCACCACAGAGAGACAGTGTTCATACTTTTTGTGGGAATCAACCTTCGAATGGTTAATTTTAATAGTTTTCTCTGTATATTTGAATTTGGGATAGGAGAAAGTACTTTCATACACATCACCTTTAAGATTGTTTGCTAATGATCCCGATTAAGTTTGGGATGTTGTAATGGATTTTATTGCTGACATGCTCAAAAAGTACAACTGTGTCTTGTCCGGTATCCTAAACGTTTCTTGTTTTTTTTTTGTCGGCAGCTTTGAAAAGCAACGCAATAGGCAGCCCGCATGGAACGAGCAGGAAGCATTCAACTTGATATCCCAGACTTCAGCAACTCCGTCCTGTCGCACCTGAACCAGTTGCGAATACAGGGCCGTCTATGTGACATTGTGGTCAATGTTCAGGGCCACAGTTTTCGTGCCCACAAGGTGGTCCTCGCCGCCAGCTCCCCTTACTTTAGGGACCACATGTCGCTTAGCGAGATGAGCACCGTGTCCATATCAGTGATCCGCAACCCAAGCGTGTTTGAACAGCTCCTTTCCTTTTGCTACACGGGACGCTTGTGCTTGCAGCTTGCCGATATCATCAGCTACCTGACTGCTGCCAGCTTCCTCCAAATGCAGCACATTATTGACCGCTGCACCCAGATTTTAGAGGGAATTCACTTTAAAATCAGTCTATCAGATGTGGAGGAGGAGCTCGGAAATGGGGCTCACAGGACCACCAATCAAACCATTGAGTCAGGAAGAGTTGGGACAGTGCTGGGTGGGTCCCGCTCCCTAAGTCCAAGACACACCAACTCCCGATTGATCAACACTGGGGTGATCAACATCCGTGATGTGAGGGAAGTCCGAGAGATCAGTCCGCCTGGGGAGTCTATGAGCCCCCAGATAGTGGAGCACAGCGGCATTAGCTCGGAGGAGGTGGGATCTGTGAAAGAGCCCATTCTCCGTATTAACCGAGCCGGGCAATGGTATGTCGAGACAGGGACTGAGATCGAGAGAGGTGGAGAGGAGAATGTGCGGATGGTGGATGGGTTTCGAATTAAGACGGAAAGGATGGAGGAGTGGATGGGGGCAGAGACTCAAGCATCAGCAGAAGAGGGCAGTGGGGCAGAGGAGGGGCCGACAGTAATGATTGACACCTCAGGGCGCAGCACACTGATGCAGGAAGGAGGAAGAGGAGGGAAAGGTTCTCAGCCGTCCAGTAGCTTCAGTGAAACAGAGAGGTGTGTGAAATCTTTTAGAAGTTCACTTTCACTGTCAAATGGAAACAAAATGTACCCTATTCCCAATTTTTACATACATTCCTTGTCTTATTGCACATAATTCATTAGTTCGTGTTATTCCAAAGAAATTCTTTCTTAATTTTCCTTTATCAAAATGCAATACCTCTTCTATCTCGTTTGACTATTGTCACCAAGCCATTTTACTTCTCAGCCCCTCGCCTTCAAACATTTGTCATGATCCAGACAATTTTAGGTGGATAAAATATAAGTCATAGTCTACATTTTGTTTTTGTATTGTATAAGTATTCCATTCCACTCTGAAATATGGCATATTTGGTGGAGTTACTAAAATGTTCATGTTGGTTTTAAGGTTTGAAAAATCCAGGTGTGATGCTTTAAAATTGTGTTACATTTATTTTGTCAACGTGTAAAAGATTTAACCCGATATGGGGTTTTCTTTCAGGTTTAGTCCAACAGGAAGTGTGGTGGTAATGGCTGATCGCCAAAGAGCCAAGAGTGAGTCCCCAGGAAGAGTTGACGATCAGAGACTCCCCACCTCACAGGTTGGGCATCCTAAATGTAGAAGAATTGATCAAGACTTGACCTTTACAAATTAATATCAATGAAGCACACCTTATAAAGGCCAATTTATACTTCTGCTTAGGGTGCGTGTAGTAGGTACGATGTAGCATATGCACAGACGCGTACAATACCGCGTACCCTTCACCATAGCCTGACGTGCACCTCCTCAAAAATGTAACTTCACGTCGCGACGCCGCGGCGGACCGCAAGATCTGTGATTGGTCGGCTTTGTAGCATCGCATTTCCTCCTACGTATTTCCGCACGTACCATCTCCTCCGACGTCTTCTCTCGTTTCTGCCTTTTAGTTTTAGTAATTTCACTAAAATTAACTGTTTTTCCACCTCAATAAGCTCCAACTCCAACATGATCACTCTCTTTCAGTCGCCATTGCGCATAGTAACCTAGACGGGAGGAATAAACACGGTGGAACGTTAAAACCCTCCGCCGCCAACTAGCGTTTCGGAGCAGTACTGCAGAGCAACCAAGACCTGAACGCAGAAGTATAAATGCTCACGACGGCGTATCCTCGACGCAGAAGTATAAATTTGCCTTAAGAAACTATAGATTGGTTACATTGCTCAGAACAGGTGTTGTGCCTAAGTTAGCAACATTTTTAAATTGCAATTCAATTAGGTTTCAATGTGGAAATTGGGTGGGGATCATAAAAACAAACTATGAACTCTAACCTTTCCCTTTCAGGGAGAGGAACAAGCTGTGTTTGACATGGGGGGATACGAGGAGTACCTACGAGAACAGGTAGGTGACCGGTGGTTCCGCTACAACCCCCGTCTCACCTGCATTTACTGCTGCAAGTCCTTCAACCAGAAGGGCAGCCTAGATCGTCACATGCGCCTACACATGGGCATAACCCCCTTCGTCTGTCGAATCTGCGGGAAGAAGTACACCCGCAAAGACCAACTCGAGTACCACATCCGTAAGCACACAGGAAACAAGCCCTTTCATTGCCACGTCTGCGGCAAGAGCTTCCCGTTCCAGGCTATTCTCAACCAGCACTTCCGCAAGAACCATCCAGGCTGCGCTCCACAGGAGGTGTCCCACAGTGCCTCGCCTGAGACCACCACGGTCACCCCCCGTGGAGGCCAGAACGAAGATGAGTCGCCCTCCCAGGAGGATGCCGAAGGCAATGGTGGAGGGGGAGGCGCCGGCTCGTCCTTCGGAGAAGGGGTCCAACCGTCAGTATCCACTACTGGGCCCGACTGAAACCCTTCAAAGGAAAACATTGCAAGTTTAGGGAGACACAGGACAGTGGGGTGCGACAGGACCTTATCCCTCTGTCCCTTGTCTCCCACCATCCACACTGAAATTGCAAGTTGGAAGGAGTTAAGCGAGCTGGAGGTTCTCTCAGCTGCTGTCAACAAGGAACGGATAAAAAGGGAGAGTCTTCTGCGTCCGACTTGGACAAAGATCCTCTATTTTTTTCATGATAACAAAGATGCAAGGAACAGTTTGCTAGGAATAGTATACTCTAGGGATTTATAAATGGTATTTCCGCTTTAAACCGCATCTACCTTCACCATTCAAACTGAACAGAACGTCAATATATGAAGACAAGCCACACTCCAACAACCTCACACACCACTGGATGCAGTGATTTTTGTTTTCTTTCGTTTGGTTTTTAGTCTTTCCTGTCTTTTATATGTTACTTTTTTATATTTTTGTACTACTACAAATCTTTCAGGATAAACAAAAAGAGAAGCTCTAGCCACGATTTGGTCAAATTGCGTTGAAATTGCCAAACTTCTCTGTGCCAGAAGATGAGTTTTAAAATGAGAGGACATCGTAGTCCTTCGCTACTTTGCCTTGAGACAATCTTGATCAAATTTATCTGGGGTTAGACGTTGCGCTCCCCAGCCATGGCAAGCTTAGGAAAACGGGTTCAGTTTTTTATTGGGGACCCTCAGGTCTGACCTAACATCAGATTCTTGATTTATTTTTTCGTTTTGTGTTGAGTGCCGATCCGGCCTGCCATAAAACCCAAACACATTTCTCACACTCAACGTAAGGAAATTGTTGCAAGTAGTTGTAGAACTTTGGGTTTATAACGCGAAACACTCAGATCATATTATTTTACTGTTTAATGTTGGTGGTAATACTGTGATATAGGCACGCTGTTGAAAAGATGTTGGTAGAGGATAGCAGTTACATTATTTATTCACATTTATTTCCTGTTAAGGCCTTCATACATCTCCAAGCTCAACAACTCAGCTGCTGAATGTTGATGATACAGTGATTTAAAACACAGGAAATTCTTCAACCTCAGATAAGCTACAATAGACCGCTCAGTTACCTCTCTCTCACATCACTACGCAATACCGGTCTGTCGCACGCAGATGCGTGGATGCACTCGGACGAATTTTATGTTCAGTGTTTTTTTTTTTTTTTCGTACTTTTTAACTCCTTATAAGTCGCCCATTGAGATTCGCTAGTCTCACCAACTTGTTTTACTGGTCTGGTGATATTTAGTTTGAGCAGGGGGAAGGGGTCTCTCAGAGGGCGTAACCTTCCTTTTTTATGTCAAGAGTTGCAGGCTGTGTTGTCGATGCCGTTTAGGAAAACGGAAACTGTATGTCTGTGATGACTGGGAAACGTTGAAATGCCACGGAATGACTTTGAGTGTAAGATTTCCCTTCATCTGATGGAAGGCACTTTAACCTTGTGGTCAAGTGCATTTACACTTGGCTTATGAACAGATGTTTCCAGCTGGTGCTATGACGTGAATTTACTGAAGCTTTCAGTAACCAAAGGAACTGAAATTTGTTATGGAAGTTCTAAACCCTTAAGATTTGGAGGGGGAAAAAGAGATTAGATCAGGCACTTAAAGAAGGGGTGGGGTGTGTTTTTTTTTGTTTTGTTTTTAGAATATTTGTATATCTATATACATGTCACTTATGCATATTTAGACAAATTTATACTTGTAATAACTATGGAGGCAGTTTCTAGAATGATCAACAAAAGCAAAGGTGTTTTAAGCGAAAGTAAAGCTCTTATCATTTTTATAAGGCTGTGAATCACACTTGGTTGTGTGACTGATTTTTTAGGAAAGGTTTGATGCATATTATAAAAATCAGCTACTGATGTTTCCAATAGGGATTTTGTGCACCTCATTCGTATCAACATTTACTTTTACCCTTACTCACATCTGTGAACACAGGTCAGCAGGTAAACACTTACAAAAATCAGGAACTCACTGTTTACTTTTTGTGTTTACCTTTTCGGGTTGCACCAAGCCGATTTTCTTACTTGGAATTCTAGCTTTGGGTAACTTGGGTCAGCAAATTTCACAAGTGCAGCAAAAAAAGAAAAGAAAAAAAGAATAAAAAAACATCATGCGTATGAACATTTCCTCTCAGTGTAAATACCCATGCTTCACAAGCAGTGGCAGTGAATTACAATCCTGAAACTGTATAATTTGACGTTTGTTGTACAGGACAGAACCCAGGAAAAGAGCATGTTGATATTGCTTTTATTCGTCACAATGCAACCTCATGATAATAGAAAAGGGCAAATGATTTTGTCTATAAACAACATAATCATAACCTAATATGTTACAATATATCAAGAAAGTAGGTTCTTTTTATGGCCTTTAAATTTAAATTTGGGGCATGGGCCTGTTTTGTGTATGCCAATCATATAAGGGTGATAGTGTTTTAAATTATCTCTATGTGAATGAATTAATTGCAATTTAATAAGGGATCTATATCTGTAATCAGTCATTCCAATTATTGTACTGCACATTTTTAGCTGTCTAAATTGAATCATATTAATTTGAGTTTTAGGGCTAATGATAACTTTCAGCATGTTTTCCCTTTGTTGACCTTCAAAACATTGATGGTTGACCAACCTGCCTGTTTGTCTTTAATTTTAAACGATATTACTCATTCAAATATTATGTGTTTGGCTTCTTTCACGCTTTAAATAACATGACAGAGGATAGATGTGTTGCTAAAGTGTATATAGGCTGTAATATTTAATGTTTTTGTATGACAATACATCCACTGCAGTTTATTGGCATTGACTGAACAAGTCATGCGTAACCAAATTATGTATAATCCTAACACAGTGTTACTGAATGTGTGGAACTACATTCGAAGCAATATTTCATCCCATTTCCAAAATTGCCAAGTTGCTTTCAGATAAAGTGGCGAATTAAAACACACCATAGCAATCACAACGTCTTATAAAATGTTGTGCAAATGTTGACAAATTGATTTCGACTTGAAAAAAAATCATGTGTCCTGAATTTGTAAAGCAATTATGCATATTGGCAAATGTGATCAAATTTGTTGCAGTGATTACATTTACCTCACGGTTTTTGTTAGTTTGGTTTTTCATGGTCTGGCTTGTGAAAAGTGATACAGTGCATGTCTCTACTTAGTTTTTTGGGAAGACCGAATGACAACACTGAGCCATATTTACAGAGTTTGTTCAGTCTTGTCGCAAGTCCCTCTGGAGCAAATATTTTGTACATGCAGCACATTTCAGACGTGGACACTTCAATGCAAATAGCCTACATATATATTTCAACACTTAGTCTGTCTGAATAAGCAAGCAAATGTGATGCATTGTCAAAAAAGTTGTCAGTTGTTTTCTTACCTCAAAAGAGTCTTTGTACAAGGAAACGAGACATTGTTTTTCAGTAGAATTTGTTTATTTGCATGTTGTCTGTCTTTTGTAATGGCCAAACATATAGACATTTCCAGGCATCTAAATTTGCACCAAGAGAAGCCAAAATATTGACATTTAAGATTTGTCTTGCTATATTGTTTTATCTTGCAAAAAAGCAATATAGTCTTTCCATGTGTCTTATATGTTAATCACTTTAATTTAAATCATACTTTAGAAAAGATTTTATTTTACATAACCATGAAATAAAGCAAAATATAATAGGTATTTTATTCTTAGGAAAAAAGTCAACTTCCAAAACTCATAAAATAAAATTTCTCTGATTTTATTAGCAATCCAATATATTTATTGAAATAGTAAATATGTTTAAAAATCTAGAAATTATATTCATATGCAATTAAGGTATAATTGCTTGTTTGAAATTAATCAGAGTTTAATGATTAGTTAAAATTTGAGACTTTTCACATTCAAAAAGGTACAGGAATCGAAAAGATTTATCATTATTAATGTGAATGCCATTTTCACAATAACCACTATGTTTTTTTCTTTACTGACAGTGTGTCAAGTCCATTCTTCTAAATAGAAATAAAGCACTTTAAGTGTAACTGTGAAGGATTTTCGATTATGTTCTTTAAATGTATAATTATGTAAGCCCAGATTGTGTGATACTGCTAAACCCAAATTTCTAATATGAAAAAATAAACCTGTTTTATCCTTGTTCTGTGCCTGTACATAGTGTTTTTATTTTTATTTTTTCAAATCCTATTTGCATCTTCTTGCTCCTCAATGTGTTTGTTTCCAGTAATTGCTTGGTGGACTGACAAAAACAACATAGTTACAATTTTAATGCTCATTATTAAGCAATAAGGTAAGAAACAAGGCAGCCTGGCAAGTTAAAAATTAGCCACAAGGATGATCAATAACTCCTCAGTCTGTCCTGTCAAATCCATTTTCAATCCATATTAGCTGCTCCCACAAGGATTTGCAACTCGGCCGGTGAAGATCAAGGCGTTGATACTGGACTCGCGGATCAGCAGAAGGAAGGGCTGGTCCGCAACAAAATTTTCCCGGAAGATGTTTAAGGAACGTCCGGTAGCCACTACTGCTGTGGAGGCAGCCGCCTCACTACCTTCCTCATTCACCTGAAGAATGGGAAAATGAGGCCGTTGACTAAGAAATTGGGTAAACTTTATTGCAATGCAGTAGTGCAAATCATAAAAAGACGGTACTTGATTTTACAAAAATGCGTCTTACCTCAAGAAAGGCCTTATGGTAGGCGTCAGAGATGAACAAGTTGGGCCCATCATCGGCAACCATCCCTAGTGCAACATGTCATGGGGAAATATTATTGTGCCATCAACTCGATAGTTTGCCCTGATATTGACAATTCTGTAATTTTTCCAAACTCTCCATGAAACACACTTCCATACGGCAAAAGTTCATAACAATCACACCAAGATCCCTATAGAACCATAATGTACTATAGTCTTATGAAGCTTTTAGGTTCTACAGAAGGAAGATAGTCATGACAAAAGGTTCATTTTTGGGTGAACTATCTCTAAACAATTATAGCAACAAGTTTTCTTATCAACCTAATGTCATACCTGGGAGACTGGCTTTTTCTGGACTAAAAAGATCTTCAAGGCCCATTTTTGTCAGCTGCTCTTTGAGACTGAAGCTGTCCTCGATACGGAAACGAGGAACCTGCACTGAAACTGTGGTGTCTTTCATGGCATGTAACCAACCAACAAGTTTCTTGAGGGTCATGTTTGCCACCACCTTAATTGGATGAAGATTTGTTATGTTGGACTACAGAACAAAATCTTTAAGGTAAATATTTAGTTTATTGTTTATAATCGACTTACTTCCGACAGGGTTATACCCTCAGTAGGTAATATGAGCACCATTGTGATGTCACCTCCATTGTAGGGCAACTCAAGGATCTTCACCTTGTCATCTGCGATTTTTGCGTACTGGAATTTCCTCTCTTGGTACATCATGGAAACTGGACACTTGTGTGTTTTACTAACATGAAACTCTGACTTTATGACATTTAGCTTATCAAACTTGTGTTTCCATTGACCCTGGAAAAAAACAGATTGTACAGAGTTCACAAGTCAGGGGGTCCAATCCTGCTTCCGAAGTGCACTTTTTCGGCAGAGTTCAGCTCAACACACCTGCCTGGATGTTTGTAGTGAGCCTGTACACCAGGGTTCCCCAAACGTGGTCCTGGAGGGCCACCGTCCCTGCAGAGTTAAGCTCCAACCCTGATCAAACACACCTGAGCAAGCTAATCAAGGTCTTCAGGATCAGTAGAAACTCACAGGTAGGTGTGTTTGATCAGGGTTGGAGCTAAACTCTGCAGGGACAGTGGCCCTCAAGGACCGAGTTAGGGGAACCCTGCTGTACACCTTGATAGGCTGGTTCAAGTGTGTTTAATAGGGGTTGGAGCTAAAGGTGTGTTGACGCTATGTCGTACTTACCGTAATGATTCTGAACTGTAAAAAGCCTTCTTGTGCTTGTAGAACTTGTAATTACAACGGGTAAACTCTGTAATTTTCTGAGGGCTACGACTTGTACCATGTAGCCCAGGGTTCCCCAAACTCGGTCCTGGAGGGCCAATGTCGATGCAGAGTTTAGCTCCAACCCTGATCAAACAGGGTTTTCCTGAAGACCTTGATTAGCTTGCTCAGGTGTGTTTGATCAGGGTTGGAGCTAAACTCTGAAGGGACAGTGGCCCTCCAGGACCGAGTTTGCGGAACCCTGATGTAGCCACTCTACCACCTGACCACTGTAGATTTAAGGTGTGTTCGACTTGAAGTACTGTTGTACAGACTGATCTGTTTACGAGTTCAGAGTACCAAGGATATGGAGCTTGATTTATGGTAATTATGGCATGGTGTGAACGTAGCATAACCTCTGCTGGAAGATGGCCCTACAGGTGCAGGATTTGACACCACTTCTTAATAGGTACCTCTCTCCAGCCTCACTTACTTTGAAGTAAATCGTGTTGACCAAGACTAATATGGTGTTGGAGTCTATTGAACCTTCAGGCAGGGTGTCTTTTATTCGGTTCTCCGTCTTGTTGGCAATCCATTCATTTATCGCCAGCCTCGAAATATCTGGTTTCTCCTGGAGGGCGAAACTTGAATTATTAGTATAAGGTTAAGGATCAGATACCCTACATTAGGCCCTTATGGAAACGTAACCTTGAAATTGAGAGGCATCAACTTGGCTCCATAGACCATCTCGCTGATGTGCTGGAAGGACTCATTAAAAAGCGTAGATTTGTCTCCAAACAAACGGTTTGCAGAGATCAGTTCTGTCGTCTCATGCTTTTTGCGGTATAGTCGACAGTTCAACTTGGCGAAGAAGTAGTGAACCTGGTCTGACGTCTTTTCCTTTATCGAATCGAACCGAAATACCTACATGTTAAGGATAGAGAAGTTGTTGACCTGCTCAAGTGATCGATCTTTATTTAAAGTGACAATTTCTTGGGCTTACTTTCATGAGCTGCTCCAGTGTGGTGTTACAAGCCCCTAGCTTTGTCATGGCGAAAGCCGTTGATATACTAATTGGCGACAGAAAGATGTTTTCATCGCTGGACTTTCCCTCTGCAAGCTGCTTGAAAAACGAGAGGGCGAAGAGGCTGTTGGCTTTGGACAGTTCCCACACTCGAGGGTTGGTGCCAGCTGGGATCTTCTCGGGATCTTTGGTTGGTTGTACCTCAGGATCTTGGTTGCGGTAGATGCACATTGGCTCCAATAAGTCTTTGGGTTTTGCGGTGCAGATATCTTTGGTTGCCTGGGCCAAACAGAAGGCAAGTACCCACAAAGCCAATGTACATGGCAAGAACTTCATCCTGCCTGAGGTGGAATGGGAACCCAGCCCAGGAAAAGTAGTTCAGTGCAAGTTCTGGTGGTCAGTCAAGTAATGGAATCATGTGATACAACGTCTGTTGCGAATTCGTAAGAGATTTTCTTAAATGTATACTTTGTAGGTTTGCTCTTTACTAACATGTTAAAATCGAATTTGCAATCTTCGTAAATTTTGTACTTTATTAATCATACATGGTTAGTTTCCCAATCACAAATTAAAGGGATAGTTCACTGTGAAATTAATTTTTGATATGTTTTAGCTTACCTCAAGGCCATCCAAGGTGTAGGTGTCTTTGTCTCCACAGTATTTTCAATTTTGATATTTTTCGGTCAAACCGTTGTCTATCAGTCATACACTGGAGGTTAAGGGGGTCCACCCTAGGTTCACCTCAAAGAGCATGCACAGAGAAGTCAAAATTAAACATGATTTAATGACTCGTAAATGCAAGTACACATTGATGGCCTAAGAGATGAAACGAGCGGTTTGTGTGAGAAAACGAACAGTATGTATATCATTTTTACCTCGTGTAATCAGAGCCTTGTCAAACTCATAGACAGTAAACTAAATGGACACAGCGACCCCGTTGATTTCAACGGAGAGATTTGAAGCTCAACATGGGCACTCACTTCCTGATAGCCAAGCGTTCTGCGCAGGCTCAAACTGAGCTTGACGACGTAGATGTCACGTGAGCAAACTGACTGACAGTTGTACATTTTTGAGTAGCTGTGCCAAGACAAATTTTAATCGTGCACAGGGACAGCGAAGCGCGACCTGGAGCAACTTTTGGTAAGTATTCTGATGAATTATTTTGTCATTTTGCTTCTATCTATGCCATGGGCTGACTTTAGACAGTAAAAGATTGCCTGCGAGGCTGTGCGAGCTTCTCCTCCTGTCTATACGGTAACTTTTCTACTGTGCAACGGACAGTGGTTATGACGTAATTTTTAGCCTATTTTTACAAGAACGGCTTCTACGTGGCCATAACGTAACATACAAAGTAATGGAGCCTTTTATACATTGTCGTGTTTCTTTAGAAGTAAATAATGGATAAATGGAGTCTTTGGACGGACGCCTCAGATGTAAAGTTATTCGCTGTCAAAGTGACGCCAAAATGAATGGGAGTCAATGGGATGCTAACAGCAGGTGATAGCCCGCTACAATGGCGGCCCCCGGGGTGCAGCTTCAATTTACGGCTGATGGATTACCCCCTTGATCTGACGGCACGGGCGCTTCAGTCTGCGCATGCGCCGGAAGTGATCGTTTGTGCGCCTAGGTCACTCTAGAGATTTCGGAAGTTTTACATTTCACTAAACATATTTAGATATACGGGAAATCGCAATGGAAGACGATTTTTCTATATCTAAATATGTTTAGTAAAAGGTAAAACTTCCGAAATCTCCGCGTATTGAGTGACAAACACACGCAGGCGATCACTTCCGGCGGGCTCGGTTCAGTTGGACATTGCACAATTGATACAGATCACTTGGACGAAACTGTGATTACACGAGGTAAAAATTCTGTTTGTTTTCTCACACAATCCGCTAGTTTTGTGTCTTAGGCCATCAATGTTAACTTAACGTTACATTTACGAGTCATTAAGTCATGTTTAATTTTGACTTCTCTGTGCATGCTCTTTGAGGTGGAGCCCCATACCTGCATAATTGTATGACTGGCAGACAACAACGGTTTGACTGAAAAATGTCAAAATTGAAAATACTGTGGAAAACAGAGACCTACTTGGATGCCTTTGAGGTAAGCTAAAACATATCAAAATTTATTTCAAAGTGAACTATCCCTTAAGGATCAATTTGACTTAAACTTTACTACCAATGGCTGAATTGCTAACAAAGATCCACTTGTCTTTATATTGGGTCGTGTCTGAGGGTAAGAAAAGTAAACGAATCGTCCACAAACTTTTACAACTGTTCCAACAAAACTGCTCTTTTTTTATCATGATATTCATTGCATTTACGAATCTTTCCACTTACCTGATGTTGTAGTTTTATTTTTCCTTTTTGAAGACCAGTTTTGGGGCAATGAGGTACTAAAGTAAGCAGCCAAGTGAAGCAAAAAACTGCTCTCTGGATAGGTCAGTGCCCTTAAGTGTAGCTCTACTGAGTGACTAAAGAGATGAATTTGCTCAGGACAACCTTTGAGCTATTGATTGGTTTTGTTAGGTTAGTCACAAGAAAATTAACTATGATTCATAATGTGGAACCCGTTCAAAACAATGATCGTTAAAAATAACTATTTCAGTCCAAATGTGTACATCGAATGCCTGTTGAGGTCTAAGGTGAAAATATTTTGTTGGAGACAGTGGTAAAGGGTATTTTGCTTGATGTTCAGCACCTAGTTGTTGTTGTGTAAAAGTACATGAATTTGTAAGAAACACCAGAGAGGAAAATGGTTTACAATATCATTTAATCATAATCCATGCCAGAATCACTGCTGCACATAAAATACATTTCTTATTAAATAATTTTTCCCCCACATTTTTTTGATATCTAATTCAAAAATCCAGTTAGTAATACCCCCTGCCCTCTCAAAGAAAAGCAATTGTATTATACAAAAATGCAATGCAAAATTTCACACAGTGAATTCTTGTACAAAGAGAAAAAAAAAAGGATTTACAACTACATCCACATTAGAGAAATATTCTAAACATTCCTTACTGGAGTATAATATACAAACATTTATTTTCTTATTCGGGTTGACGTTAAAGTGTACCTTAATTTAAGCAGACTATCATGAGATAACATGGGAGAAATCATCAAAAACAATTATATATCCCAATGTTAGGAATCATGGTATAAAGACCACAATGCAACACCCAATCTCACAAAAAATAGTCAATACATGAGTGCAAGCAATGAGTTTCAGTGGGAACAAACATACAGAAATTAGGTGGACAGCACTCTCTTTGGACACACCTGAACACAAACACACAGCCAATCATTTTAAAACTACCTTCTACAGCTATAAGCTAAAACACTAAAGCCTGTATTTGTGCACAACCCTTATGTTTTCAAGTAATATTATGACTTTTCATAAATCTACTACGTGTGTATGTGCACGACGCATACTTTCCCCTTGCGACCAGGGAACAATATGTACCATTAATCATTTTTCTGTGTGGGAAAACAGACTACAATCTCTGGTGTTTCAGGCACTAAGTGTCAAATCCGATTTCACCCATTCCTACCTTCTCATTTTCACAACTTTCGACACTAATTAGTACTACATTCGTATTGAACCCTGAACACGGTCAACAATCACAATAAGAAAAAGAGTTCCAGTGAAGAAACACTGAGGCTTTTTATTAGACACTGATGATAAATACAACATTTTTTTTTCTTTAAGTCAGCAATAGGCAGATCAATCTCACAAATTAGTCATATTTCACCCCAAAATAACTTAAAAAATATTGCATTAAAAAAATGAAGCACATCTTTAGGACCATTTATTTTTTAGACAACTAAGCCAATTTACCAAAAAATGTCATTACCGCAATGCAGGAAAATAATCTCATTATCGCAATACAGTAACAAAATAAAATTTTTCAAAATACAAGTTAAACTATAATACTATAATGATGCATCAAGTACATTTCTACAATACAACGCATTACTTATGCTTAATGAAAATAATCTCCACAAAGCAAAAAATAAAAGGTCGCAAAAATAGTATTCGTTTAATGTAATGAATATACACATAGGGCTACTTTACATTTAGGATGAAATATGACTTTTCTCCCCCCAAACTTCATGAGATTCATCAAGTTAAACATTTTGGTTCCCTTTTCAAATCTATAGTGATTCCCATTGGCTCATCGGGTGATCATGTAAATGTTGCTTTGCAACAATAGTTTAAAAAAGTTGGTTTTCAAATGGCTGACTTCAAATTCATAATTTCAAAACCACAAGCAGTCCTTCTGCAAGAGTCTTTATACAATCCTTGTTTGGTTAAAAAAAAAACACATTGGAATCAGTCTCAGTTTGGTACAAAGGAACTGTCGAGGATTGTATCAATGGCTTATATGAGAACAGTAAACCTTGAGTTGTTTACCTGTATTATCAGACCTCCAATATGAGCCTTGATACTCCCTCTCTGAATATCCATATCACACTATGCCAAAATTCACAGACTGTCCTTGTTTTCCTGTTCCAATCCAGACTCTTAAAAAAAACCCTAACATCAAAAGACCACCATCACACCATGAAGCATGCTTAAATACTCAAGTTCACTTGCACGAAAGATACACAAAATGGCTACAACAACAAATGACCTGGCAATAAATTCCTTTATCTCAGAAAGGATAGGCAGTACTCAGTTTGGCGGTCTAAAAGCCTGCAGATTCGAAGAGATCATTTAATATAAATGCTGACTTAGACTGAGAAGATTTGAATATTATAAATAAAGATGGTTCAGCTACATCTACACACCCAATATGTGAATAACTGCAGATCTGCATAAAGGCACAGTCCTGAAGTCTTCAAGTCTCGAAACAGACAAATTGCAGTCCTGAATGCGACAAAGACGTTTACACCCAGATACACTAAAAACCGACCCTGAGATAAAGACAGGTGTTCCTTTAAAACAAAACAATAAAGGTGACGTTACCCAAGTGAACCTATTCCAGATCCTAAAAAATTCATTCGCCTTCACCTTTAACTAAACACCAACAATGTTCGCAAATCGCAATCCATTTGGCTTCAAACCAACAAAATTCTGTTTCTTTCAAACTAATTTGAGGGTAAATTCATGCTATCCTTAAAGTCTACACTGTGCATCACAGTTCTGTTACCTAAACGCAGAAATATCCAATCTTGACGATTGCTTAAAATGTCAAAAGCTTAGATCAAAGCCACAGTAATACCGTAATAATGTAAATAAAAACAATAGAAATCAACTCCAACTTAAGAGAAGTTCCACCAAAATAGGTGCTTTTAAGGTTGCGGTAGGATGTCTCAAGAGACTATTATATGCTAGCAGGAAAAAATAAAATAAACTCATTTCCAACTTAAAAGACTAATTCATAAGTGATGAGATCTCACCACCGAGGAAGTGATATACATGGAAGAATGCAAGTTCGAGATTTACAGTGCAAGTGTTTTACAGACGACGTGTTGTGTCCTTTAACAGTCACGTTTTTTTTGTGCTCGTCAGCAATTACGTGAAGATTGTTCGTTCAAAACTTGTTTGATAATGCGTTTCAGATTTTTCGCACAGCAAATGTAAAAAAAAAAAATTGACTTTTATACCCAACAACAATATAAAAGCCATAGGTGGTCACTCTTGATGTTTTTACTCGCCAAACGCCTTTCCTTTTCGTCGTGGTTTACAAAAATACATTTTTGGTTGTTTCCAAATAATGTGAAATAGGGAAATATTCTTGTTAGTAGATTGGCTATCTTAGTCCAACTCTTTCTAGTTCAAACAGTCAGACAGATCACATGGCGAAAACGATCCGTTTATCCCCATCACTATTTGAATGACGTTGAGGAGGATTGTGATGTACACGGTTGAGCACAGCCTGTAGGGGAATTCGATCGAACCGGCCCATCAAAACAATGGTTTATCAAACTTCAAAGACAAAACAGAGAATGAAGGGGAGTCTTGAGGCGGCTACAGCTGGATCAAAGTCTTTCTTTTTGCTCTGAATATACGCCACATCTTTCGAAGTGAAAAACACTGCATATACGAAAAATGTGCCTCGTTCTGAAGATCGTAATTTCACTGACAGAGTGAAGAGAAGTACATGCGCATTCTTACAACAGAACGCATTTTTATGCATTACTGTAACGGCTTTCTTTCCATCCTCAGGATGGAAAATGTATCTTTACCCACTATGAAAAAAACTAGACTGACCTGGATTGTTATTTCTATCCACAAAAAATGAGGCTGAATAATGCATCCCTGAGGACATTACAGCAGAAGATGATGATGATGATAGGCGGTTCAATCGAAATCCCACAGGCAGTGTAGTGTAATACACTGAAAACAATAAAAGGGCCATTTTAAGACTTTTGGGGCTTTTAGGTTTGTTGGCATGAGTGCAATTGAGGTCAATTCAGTTAACATTTCGGTTACGAGCATTTCTATAACACACAATAACGTGCATCATAACAATCACACTGTAAATGAAGCCTAATGTATAAAACATGATACATAGTTTTGACACTCAAAGATAAAACAATGTTTTCTGTTGGGTGAATATGCAGCAAGCCTGCGCTTATAGCAAGTTATGAGTCTGAAAACTGTAAACTCAGAAGAGGACAGAAGTGTAAACACCACACCAAGCACAAACAAGAGCGTAACTACCGAAAACGTAGCACATTATGATAAAAACGCGATTTTGAAACCCAAGATAGTGGATTAATGATCATTAAGCAACATAAGCGAGATCATGTTATATGTTGCCTGACAAATACTTAAGACTGAGGATATTTTGGATTCACCCTGATTTACGAGGCAATGGAAAAAGGCTTGTCTCAGGAAAAAGAAAATACTCAACAGCAGATACTGCTGTTAAAAAAAAAACTAAATCAGGGCGTGATTGTGCAAGTCTGTTGAGGCACATGCACAGTGAATCCCACCGAACTCCACCCATATTTGCCTGACGGGTGTTGGAGGGTCAGTGGAGGAAGCTAACGTGAATGCGTGTCATGTGTTAGACAGCGATGCTGGAGAATCCTGCTCCAGAGGCTTTAACTTGGGACTGGAGCGCCTACTGGTTACAGAGCGCTCCGGTGGTTTGCGGAAGGAGAATCTGAGGTAGAAAGAGCCAGCTAGGAGTGGGCAACTCCGTTCTTGGGCAGATCAGGGCTGCTGGCCACCTGTTCAGAGGACAAACTGAGAGATGACGTCTTGCTGGTCAGTGAGGACATGCTGCTGCTTACGAGGCCGCAGTCCTGGACCAAACCGATGGAGCCGTTTAAACCCTCACTACAACAAAAGAGAGTGAGGCAATGAGAAATACTGTGGTGGACAACATTTCATTCAATGTAGTGGATGTAGAACATGTATTTCTGAAAGCAAATTATGGTGTCTCACAAAACCTGTCAGGACAAAGTTCCCCCCAAAAATAAAAAATTAAGAACAAATAAATACATTTGACACACCTGAAATGTTACTAATAGAAAAAAAGGAGGAATATATATATTTTTTAGGGCTCTCAAATGATTAATCGCGATATATATATATATGTGGGTGCAATGTGTATAATTATTTTGTGTGTATGTGTATATATATATATATATATATATATATATGTATATATATATGCATATATATTTAAGAAAATATATTATTTAAAATATTGATATTTATATATAATATAAATTATATATAAATCTATATGCAGTATATACATGAAAATATTTCTTAAATATATATACAAGCAAGTATGTGTATATAATATATATACATATATATATATATATATATATAATTATACACAGTGCACCCACATATATTATGTAAACACAAAACTTTTATTTTGGATGCGATTAATCGTTTGACAGCCCTAATTTTTTTTCCTTTAAATAATTTTAGGAAAATTCTAACATGAGTTTTGCGTAAACATACACGCCACTTTCAAGTCAAGTGGCGTGTTATCTATACGCATTTTGAGCTATTCGTGTGTATGTCTACGCCATTAATGTCCGAGTGATTCCGCGTGTATGTCTACGCCATTAAATGTCTGAGCGAAACGAAGCAAAATGTAGATCCACATCTGGGGAGCGATATTTTTTTCCTAGGATGGTAGGGGAAGATTCATAAATGTTAATAACCCCCAGTGGCGGGTAGGTTTAGGGACGGGGTTGGGGTAGGTCATATATTTGTATACAGTAATAACGTTAAGTCAACGGCGTAATAAACACCCTGAAAAGCGATTATGCGTGTTGATAGCACGCCAAAAATGGAAATACGAATTGGCGTGTCAAACATACGCCATTTCATGAGATCAGTCTGGAAAATTCACTGTTATATTTCACCTAAGAGTAAGTGAATGCTCCTCTCGTTGCAAAGCATGTTCGTCTTGTCCGTTTTCGACTGAGACCCGCTTGTACTTGCCATCGTGGTTCACCTGAAGGCAAAATAATTTAAATCACATGAACTTCCTGAACTTACAATACAGCCTACAACTACTTTTACAAATGACCTTGCTTAAAAATGGATTTTATGCTCAAGACACGGCAGTGGCCTCATAAATTATTCAGAGGCAATAGAATATATTAATTATGAATAATTAATAGAAGCTCTATAAATTGCATGTCTCACTAACCATGGCCATCTCCTGTGTCCTCATGTCGATCTCTCTCTCCACCTGGTGCAGCTCGTGACTCAGCTGTTCACTAGACAAACTCCCAGAGGACCAGTCCGCTCGAGGCGGCTGGGACATCACTGAGCTTGGCTTCTGCCAAAGGAGAGGATGAGACGCTGAATCATGATATTTTTACACACACAGTTCTGGTAAACCCTACGTTATGGGGACAAAATGTCCTCACAAAGATAATTTGGTACCATTTAGTTGGATCCAACATGTGAACAGGCCTTCAAAATGACCCCGAGGTAAATTGACAATCTCACCTCCAGGCCGCGGCTGTGTGTCTGTTGGCTGATTTGCTGGTTGACCTGCTGTAGCTCCATCCTCAGCTGTTCACGCGCTTGCACGGCAGGGGATCTGCAGGATGAGCGGAACATATTTTGCTCATTTAGGACATTTACAGATTCAGGCTAAACTGAAACCAAGCGACTGCTTGTGAAGAGCGGGGCAGGGCAACATACCGCTCGCTGAAGTGCCCCTGAGACGTTTGGTGCGGCTGGTAGGAGTCGCCGCTCCACCCGCTGTGGTTCGCATAGGGGTAGTCGGCTTCAAAAGACAAGACAAAGACCATTCAAAAAACCGAAATAATCGTGTTGTCCCATTAGCAATGCTGATATACAAAGCAGGAGGAGTTTACCGGTGTGTTTGGCAGAGTTCGGCAAGGGTGGCATCGCACTGTTTGGCGGGTAGCCAGATTTAGACGTGCGTGAAATGGCGCCAAAACGAGACACGGTCGGCAGGGAGCCAAAGGGAATGATAGGGTCGTCATCTTTCACGTCTGCCGCTCTGCGCTGAATTTTTTGCTGGGAGAAATGGTTACAATGGAAGAACTAAATTAGAATATGCTTAAACTCGTTTTTAGCATACTATTATTTAAAAATGTCAACTTCATTGGTCAAATATTTAGTAATATTATCAAACTGTTTACATGGAGTAAGCCTGAACCATGAACAAAACTCAATGGTCCTCTGTTAATACATATATGGCCTTTGGTTTGTCAACAGTATGGTTAGTACAAACTAGACAGAATAAACACTGATAACCTTTTGTAATGGAACAGCCACTGAAAACAGCTCAAAATTGAATGCGAGGGAGAAAACTGACGAAATCTACTTCCTACTAAGCCTTTCAGCTTTTCTAATGCAATTCTTGCCCATTGAAGATTCTAAATTATGATGCTACGGTGTTGGTTGGTTGCCACTAGGGAACGACTTCAGATTTTTTTTAAGTCGACGTTTATGTGATTAGTTGTGGATGACGTCATTGAACAAATAAGCCTGGACCTCGAGCCGAGATTGGACCGTGGGTTACTTTGTGCACAGCTATGGCATATGACACAGCGCTGCCCACAAGGCTATTGCTCCTACATAGCAGCTTATTTTTATCAGATCTTTGTCTTCGGGTCGTTAAATTTCCCACAGATTTCTGCTCGTTCTAAATCAGATACAATTTAGCAGCACAGTAAAGATTACATTTATATGAATGTTTGTTTTTTTGAGATTATTGCTAGTGAATTAATTCTACCTGGCAGCGTCTCTCTATTACTAATAGTAAAGCAGTGGGTTTTAGTTACTAAGAAATATATGCTAGAACTAGTCATTGCAAAGCATTAAACTAGTCTGTGCAACCCCTAGGTGCCAGAAAATTGCTAGGGACTTTTGTGTGGTTGCTTACAGCCTCAAGTCAAAAGAGCCCATTACTAAGTTTTTATAATATTGTGTTCCCTAGAAATGGCTCTAGAAAGTCTATAGCAATAGAAAGGCCAAACTTACTGTTTCCATGGAGTTCATGCCCTCTTTGGACTTCATATCCTTGCTGCCGATGTAGGAACCGAAGGTGTCACATGACCAAGGGGAATATGAGGCGGTGTAGTCCTGTTCCCGGAAGTGTCCAAAACCGTGGGGGTTCTCCTCCATGTACTGTGAACAATAATGACATGGCAACTCATTACCAAACGCTACCTTGTAGGGCTGCGTGATTTCAAATAATTTCGAACTGGAAAAAAATAAAAAAAATAATAATTCTAATGAAAATTGCAATTAAAACAAGAAAAAGCACCATATTTTACTAAATTTTGTGATTATATATCAATACAACTATGAAATAATAGCAATAACAATAATATTTATTATCATTATTACAATTGTATTATTAAATAAAACCATACACGGTATATTTCACTATAAAAATACAACTTATAATCTTTCACTGTAAAATAATTATAAGTCAAATATAATAATAATTGTATCTCGTTTTACATTACAATTGTAAAATTACAATACTTGTATTTATGGCTGTCTTCAATTGTGAACGTTGAACCAGTGTTTTAATTAGATTTAAAGTGTACGCCTTCTCACATCTTCTTTATTATCATTATTTACGTGAAGTATTCTCCTGGCTTACATGGCTCTGACCCCTCATGTCCTGAGGGTAGCTGGGGTCGTATGAGTGCGAGGAGCCGAAGTGCAGCGGGGAAACCACCTTCCTGTCCTCTAGCTGGGCCATGATCTCCTGTCTGCGACGGTGCAGGTAGTCTAGGGAGGGCTGTGCTCGAGTCGTGTAGGTATTCTGGGGACATATTATTTTCTTTAGGTTTGAAACAGGGCCGATGCAGTTCAAATATTGTAAGCAATGGATCTTACCCTGTGATAATTCCTGATCTGACTGGAGTGGTTATAGTTCTCACTGGCGTATCTTTCCTGAGCTGATTCCGGTGGGTACGAGCCACCGGTGCTTTGGGGCTGTAGTGGCGGGGGAATGTCTGGACTCCTTCGGACCAGTTCCTCTCGTGGGGCGTATGTTTGGGGATGGGCGTAGGCTGAGTGGCGACGGCCATCGTGATGTGAAGGGTATCCGTAATGGGAGCTGGGGTTGGCCAACTGATGCTTTGGGTAGGAGGAGCTGGAACAAGTGTCCAGATATGGTGGCATGCCTGGATCTGGAGCGGGATGACGGGCGTAGCGTGGTTGGTGGTGGTGGTGGGGATAAGGATTACCTGTTGAAATGAGAAAATGGAAACATTTTTTCATGTACACATGCAACAATGTGTTTGTTTTAATTTTTTTTTGTGTGTTTTTGTACCTGCAGAGTATTGGGGGGATTCATATTGGGCGGATGGTGGCGGTGGTGCTCTAGTTTCAGGGTAATACAGTTCAGACTGGTGTGGCGAATATGAGTAAGAACCTCTAGGCACAGCAGACATGTGCTTCTGCCCGACTGAGCCTTCGCCTGCCATCCTATGGTGGGAATTCATGAGCATTCCAGATTTTGGGATGGATTCCAATCTGAAAATCAAGAGAGAAATTGCAGTCAGTCCGCAGTTTTTAAGATAATTAATATTTTCAACTCAAATCAATATCCATTTATGCATTTGTATGGTAAGTAGCGGTGTAACAAGTTTAATATTGTATAACAGTGTCGTATAACTAAAACAGACTATTAAACAGCCTTTTTTAAATTTGTTTATTAAAAATGAAGCTAAATTTTATAACTTCAACGTATTTAAGTTGTCACGGCAAATTTATCGTTAATCAAGTTTGTCATCTAAAATTGTAATTTATATAAAATATAATTATTAAATAAATTTAATTTAATGATGAAAATAAGAAATGTTGTCTTGGCAACTAACTGAAATAAAATAAGTTATAAATAACAACTAAATTACAAGGATTGAAATAAGAAATAAATGAAAGCTAAATAGAAATACAAAAAAGGCAAAAATACGTTTATCACAAATTATATTAAAAGAACACTGATTTATACACAATTAGTCTATACTGCAAAAAATAGTGTTGATACTGTTACTACTAGGCTCAAAACTAGGGTAGAAAATAGCCTATTACTTGTTCATTTTGATGTTTTTGAATGCAAAAACCAAGCGAACGTCATAAGTTGACTTCAGACAACAATATAATAAAATGTAAAAAGCCAGTTCATGACCCCTTTATTGTGTTTAAAGTTTAGGTTTAGGCTTACAATCAGGTTTAGGTGCTTCTACATCAGTGTTATTCACCTATAGTTCCCACTCTGATTTTACGGGTAAGTTATGGGTTGTGTTTAGGAGTAAGGATAGGCTTAGGACTAGATGTTGATCCAGGAACATGTCGTACTTGGCAAAATCACGGAGATGCCAATCAATAAATCAAACTCACGAGTCTGGAGGTGAGCCAGGGGCACTGAGGCTCCCCGAGTCCATCTTCCCCGGTTTGTGTGATGGTTCATAAGACGGGTCCGAGCCTCTGGAAACCAGGTGGACCAGAGAAGATCCAGGTCCTGCTGCTAGGATGCCATTGCTGATGGAAGAGGATTTGCGTGGAAGGCCCTCCATCAGCGGCCCCTCGTCAGCTAACAGCCCAGCGCCGAAGTCTATCTCGTTCAGCTGGGTCAGGGACTGACTGAGCTGTCGGCGCAATCCCAGACGTTTATTCATCTTACGGTACCTGTCGTCAGAGAAGAGAAGGTTAAGCTGGTGCTAAAACTTTTTCCATAGTATTTTACATCATTAACGTGCCGCTCACTTTTCAAGCTCTTCCTGAGAGTGAGCGAAGGTGCAACTTGCTCCACGAGGACAGCCGCCTTTTTGTTTCATGTCCCGACACATGTAGGTCTTGTATTTGCTGTGCTGAGGTGGCTGTGGGCAGGAAGTGAGATATGTTTACTCGTATTTTTGTGCAAGGTATTTGAATGTTTGCAATCTGCGAAATCTTTAGAAAAAAACAGTTTCTAAATCCTAAACAGAAAATGCTAATAAGAAATACTATAATAGTTTATAAACGCTAAAATAACACTGATATATAGACAATTAGTCAAATGTTCCCATCCACCTATTTTTATGCAAACTTGGGGATATTGCTTTAAAAATAAAACACTGAATGGAAACACCAAGATGTGAATATGTAAAAAAATAAGGGCATAAACAACGTATGCGCTCAATTGAGGCGGATATTTTTTATCCGATTAAACTACAGTGGAAACACATTCACCGAATAAATCCCTCGATGCACAACCAAAAAACACATGATTTTGCCTCAGAGGATGTGATTCGATAACTGGACTAACCAGCGGACCAATCGCATCGCACATTATCTCAAATGTTGGAAAATGCCTGAGTCAAAATCTGTCATCAAAATGATTCGGTATAATGCCCTCCCAGTCTTACACGATTGCGTTCCCAAACATCAGGAAAAACATGACGGCGTTTATTGCGTTTCGTGCTCCGAGTCATTAAGATGTGCGAAAAAGAGCCACAGTTTCTTCCCTTACATTATTACAGATATTTTTTATTTCCCAGGAAGTCATGGTTTTGTTCTCTTGAACACATGGGATGTAAACGACGCTTTATCCGCAAATGTTTTCTGCGATATTCCAATTTTGCGCTCAAGTTAAATTCACAACTTTAGATAAAACCAACTATTGTTGCAAAATGTAGAAAAAAAATAGTGCTTCTGCTACTACAACTAAAATAATAATAATAAAAACAAGCCATTTCCTCTTATAAACACTGGTCGTAAATCATGAGACAATTCTGAATCATTATTTTGATCAGTGATTTAAAGCTATTAATAGGTAGTAAATATTCAAATGTTGAAAAGTTCATATTTTATGTTTGTGATCTGATTACCAACCTGCTGCTGATCACCTCCCTTCTTGCTATGGTTCTGGATGAAATCCACCAGGCCGTGAACGACGGTCCGCACCGCTTCCAATCCTTTGGCTAGCTGCTCCCATGTGGGCGCAGGGGCATCTGAATAACAAGTCAGATGATTATTTTTTAATGAATGTATTATGGTTGTGCTGGTAAATGTGTGAATAGAGCAGGCCGACAGACCTGGGCTAGGGTCGATGTCGGCCAGGAGCTCCAGATGGGGTCTGAGGCGGTTGAGATTGGCTGGATCTCCGGTTCTCTGAAGGGCAATAGTGAGTTCCTGAACACTCTGAGCAAACGATGCTGGTGTCTGCAGCTGAAACACACAAACCCACATAAACACATACTCCACATACCAACAGACAAAATCAACATGTTTTTATGCACGACGTAACATTTGCTACACCCTAAAGGCGCTCTCTACACAGGGAGGGGTGTTACTGGAGAATTTAAACTGGGTAGTGCCTACAGCACCACCTAGTGAAATCTTAAAATAATACTTTTTGCGAGTACATACCTTGTCTATAATAGATTGCATGTGGGACTTGTGGGACTGGTCGCCATACAGTAGAGAGGACCATTGGTCAGGGGCGATACGCAGTCCGCCCTCCATCGCAATCTGAACGATCTGAGAGTCGTGTTCTCTCCGAAGAGCCTCGTATGTGCGAAACTCCTCCTTCAGCTGCATCAGGGAGGAATCCTCATCACGTTTAGTGACCTGAGGTTAAAACAAATAAACAAAAAATTATGAGCAGGGTTCCTACACATTTACCTCTGACACATCAGTTTGATACTGTAAATGTTAACGATCACCAGATAGCAAAGTAGAGTCTGGTTTAGACAAACCAGCAAAAGTTAAAGGTGCAAATGATCGAGTGGCGCACACACACTTTCTAATACCATACTTTGCCAACCTGCGAAGGAACCCTGAATATGGTAAAGGAAAAGTTGAGGCACCTTAAAGCAGGAGGCCCTGTAGAGGAGCTGCACCACGTGTCCTATGCTGGTTTTTGAGGCCTGAGGAAAACGTGGTTCGAGTCTCTGAACCACAAACAGAACCAGAACCTTCCGTGAGAGGGCCGAACCATCTTCCAGAGCGAGAAGAACCAGCTTCAGTGCTTCCTCCTGCATGGCTTTTGGATGACAACCAATATTTTGTTAGTACTCGCATATGATTTCTCCAGCCTGCTATCAGGTTATGATGGTCAAATCTTACCAGGGCCGAGAAACTGGCAGCCTCTGGCTCTGACGGCGGCCCACAGGTTTGAGGAGAGCTGCTGGGGATTCTGGTGCTGGAGGATGAGCTCAGTGACGGTGCGTTCACCCAGAGAACGGGCCGCCCGCATGGCCCGGATGCGGCCCTCCTCCTCCACCAGCTGGCAGTGCACCAGAGTCACCAGTTTCCGCTGCATGGGTCTGCTGAGCACGCTCTGAGCGGCGCCATTCAGGCCGGCACCTGCACGGACCAAGACCAACAAAAAACAAGCGTTAACTGAGCCTTTTCACTCAATACTAAGGCCTTGTTTATTGCATGGTTCAAGTGACCCAAATCACTTGAACATATAGTCATTAAAATAGTGCACGATTATAGGAGCGATGGAAGAAAGGATACACACAGGTTTCGTGTCTTTTGAGTGTTTGAGTGCAGGCAAAAATGCAGGGTTGTTACAGAAATAAATCCATATTTGAAGACATTTCATAAGGCACGGTTTTAAGCTCTCGTGGCTACAGAGAGCAATGTTTTGATGACTTTTCAAAATATTGTGGATAGAAAAACTGGATAATTTTATTCGCATCTGCATCCATTGCATTTCGTGCTGTTTTACTTCATTTTCCGGGTCAGTACGTCTACATTTGGTAGTTTCAGCAGTGTAGTGTAAATGCAAAAATCAGATACGGGTCACTTTTAAAAGATGATGAAAGCGGGTCGTCAAAGAAATCGGATATAGTGAAAGACCTGCAGTGTAAATGCAGCCTTAATGACACGAAGGATAAAACACATTGGGAATTGTTAGGTATCCAAACAATTGTCAATAAATAAAACTTTAAATAAAAAACTGTAATTACAATAATTAATACATTCATTTAACATATAAATAAATATTCAGCATAATTAAATAAAATATTGCATTTTAAAAATACTAAACCATTCATTGTTAATTTGTTCACGCAATAAATAATAAAATTAAATATTACAAAATAAAATATTTTAATATATTGCAAAGAAATACTAAAACTGTTCCGTTTTGCGGCGCAATCACAATCCAATTGATGTCTTGATGCATTTGATGACAAATTAATGTTTATGATGAATCAGTTAAAAACCATAAACACTTTAAAAAATAGTAATTTATTCAAATAAAAACCAAAAAATATAATTTTTTATAAATTACAATTTGAAGCAGTTTTTGTTTCTTTTTACGATGCAATTGCAATCTAATTACAATTTGCTGATGTGCGATAATACATTTCTTAAACCATGAAAGCATATGCTAACTTCTACTGAATAAATGAACAAACGGCAGGGACCTCTGGTGTTGCTCAGGGGTTTGAGATAAAGCGCCAGGTCTTCCACACATGTGCGGGACTCCTCATAGTGCTGGATGTCCTCTGCCGCTGTCAGTAAACTGACGGGGGAAGGTTTGGGTACCTGGATGAGAAAAAAAACAACAACATTTGTCTGTTACCATGCTAAAAATAGTTCTCGTCTATAACGTCTTGCAAGAATTCTATACATAACTGACCAGCATTTGATGAGCAGTGAACATTCCTCTTTTAGAGAACACGCTCACACCCACAGCCTGCATCACGCTGAGCAACCACTCTCATAGTCATAACAATGTGATTTATCATCAAAAACAGAGAGAGGAATGACCTTTTTGACCATAAGGTTGGGCTGTCATGGTTATGAGGTTTGGATGATTAATGGTCATATTAATAACTGCATTTCTGAGTGCTTTAGGACTGAAACTTTAAAATGGTGCATTGATTCTTAATTATACCATTTTTAAAAAGAAATGAATATTTTTACTCAACAAGGACACATTAAATTGATCAAAGGTGACAGTAAACACATTTATAAGTAACAATTCATTTACATTTCAGTAGTGTATTATTGTCTTGGAGCTTGACTGATGTTTATAATAAAAAATGTTTATTAATCACATATTAATACCATGTTTCTTCATACTTAATCCTACCCAATACTTAAACTTAACTACCTAACTATTAAGCAGTAATTAGGAAAAATTTTGAGGAAAAAAAAAATTGAGGAAAAAAAACATAGTTATAGTGTGAATTGTATATTTAACTAAAATGTGACACAATTCTTTTCACTGACTTTTTTGTTTTGTTTTGGCATTTAAAAATGGCAATATGTATAAGAACATATTATATATGGATATGAATAATATGATTTTAAATATTAAAATAGGAAGAAATAATTCCATCCTCTTTATGATTGCCAAGTCTGATTTCCATACTTCATATTTCCATACTAATACTATTATTAGTCGTAGTAATAGCGGTACAAACTAATTTTTTACTACTATTTTAGTCATTTGCATGAATAAAGACCCTTGAGTTTCTTTGTGTAGTTGACAGATTTAAATGAATAATATAATTATAAATACTGAAATTTGACGATATAATTTAAAATATTTATCCTTTTGGTGATTCACACTGTAATTTTTGGTACCCATCTCAACTATAGTAGTAGTAATCATTATTCTTATTTTCCAATAGTAACATTTTCTAAGCTAACTTCCTAACTTTTTTCTTTATGAATTTTAAGTCATTTTTCTGTGTGTAGTTGGCAATTTTTAAAATGCTGCTCATTTCAGATTTGGACAAACGCTCTCATCTACACCTCATCAGCTTTGTGTGAAACCCTGAAACGAACCAAAATATCTGCAGTTACGCAAATGTGACAGTGGCATTTTTGTGTTTGCTTAAATTCCCTTATTTGAATGCAGTGAAGCAGTCAATGACTGCAGTCATCTAAAATAATCACGACTCGACAATAATCTAATAGTTGCGACAGTCATACCTGTCATAGAGTGTGCAGAATAGAGAAGTATTTTCACAGACAGCCCTGGGAATGACTGGCAATGTTGATTCAAATTCCTGGTTCTCTATTGGCTGTGTTTGTGAAGAACTAGTGTGTTTTTACTGCCTCCTATCATGCATTGTCACGCTTCGGTATGTCACATCAGGTCTGAAATGCAACCAGACCGGAACGAACGCGAGCTAATCTTTAGAAACCTGACGCCCTGAGCTCCACCTGACTCATTCTGCTCGTCCTCTTGATTCAGACATGAGTGGATGCAGTAAAAACTCAGTGAAAACCCAACTGCTGTGCTGTTTGAGCGATTGTTATCAAGATAATTTAAAAAGGTAAAAAAAAGCACAATATTTAAGTGACAAGGAACCACTGCAGTTTTACTTCCTCATCCTCGCTGTTCAACAGTTTCGATTGGGGGGGGGGAGGCAAACAAAGAGTCAATAAAGTAAAGGTGTTGCACACTGAGCCGGCACGTAGTGTTTCTCAAGCCTGTTCCTGGAGGGCCACTAACAACGCATATCTTTGGTCTTCGAGTCTCTACTAAAGATCTGATAAGTTGAATCAGGTGTTTGATTAGGAAGAGTTGGAAAATGTGTAGTGTTGGTATGCCTTCGGGAACAGGGTTGGGAAACAATTGTACAATTGCGTATTTTAGCAGGTGAAATCCAGTCATTTCCATAGGAATCTCTGCAATTGGGAGTTTTGTGTGAAAGAAATGGTTTCCCTGCCATGTTTTGCTAATGTTCAATTTGATCATGCAAATCCAGGAATTTGCATGCGCATTGTAACTGTGTATTAATGTGCCGTCATATTTATTGTTGCTCTGCAACATTTTTGAGGGTTAAATCCAGTGATTTTTAAATAGGAATCCGAAAAAGGCAAAAGGTTTTCTTCAGCTCATATTCTAATTGGTTACGAGTTGCAGGGCTTGCATGGGAATTTTAGCTGTGTATTAAAGGTGCAGTAAGCGATTTCTTGTAAACGCTGTTGATGTTTTGAAATCACCAAAACAAAATACGCCCCTACCTAAAATGATCACACATGATCTTGATGCCTCCGACCCTACGTGTTCATGTTCATCACGCAAATCCGTGAACAGAATTGTGCGGTCACATTTATCATTGTTCTGCAAATTTTGTCAGGTGTACAAATTAACACAAACTATTCAGATTCAGGACTCCACCTCATCGCAATGACGTCACCAAGAACTTTCATAAGGATTCCTGTAAAATGCTCTATTCCGCTGCCAGGCCATTAGAAGGCGATTAAACACTATAGATTAAACATGTAATACGCATGTGCTTGACGTCATCGTTTTCAGAGATTAGCGTTTTTGTTATTTACGCAGGGACCGGTTAAAAAAAAACGTGTACTTGGTAATAATGCTGGGCGGTTTGACCAAATATCACGTTTTTTTGTTGTTGTTTTTTAAATTAAGCCGAATTATCTGATGTTCAAAGCATTTAATAAAATTGTTATTTCTTAACATTCTAATAACATTCTTATAACCAGGAAATAACTTTAAAATACGTTTATATAACAGGAGAACTGAATGTTCTTATAACGTTTTGAATAACGTTCTTATAACCAAGAAATAACGTTAATAAAACATCTAAAAAACTGGACGTTTTGAATGTTCCTAGTACATTCAAAAATAAATGTTTTTGTTATTAATGGGAACGTTACGAGAACGTTCTTATAACCTACGATTGTTATCTGGGGAAGAGGAGAGATTCGTGATTTGCACTGAACACGTTTTATGTGCAGGAGCGAGCCCAGAGAAAATAGAGCTATTCTTACAAGAGCAGCGTGTATCTGAGAGCGCGCACATTATATTAATGTACTTTCACGCTACAATAGTGCACTCTCGACATTTGACAGGAAAATAACGCCATCCACCTTCTGCAGCATCCACCTTCCCTGTAACGTAACACCAGAGCACTGTTGTATACCCTCGGCCTCGCCTTGCAGTCGCTGCTTAGACGTGCAACATTGTAAAGGGTCTGTCTGAAACAGTGTCGCGCGGCGCAGTGAATTAAATCGGTATGGTGGTATATTAAAAATGAATGTTATAACAAAAATATACACCGTTTTTTAGTATAAACCGGTATACCGCCCAGCACTACTTGGTAACCCATTTTCAAAAGTTTGCGTTTTCTAAAATGCTGTTGTTGTGTAAATTAACTCATTAGACTCACCTGGCCGCTGACGAGCTGCAACAGCGCAGTGTTGACGGGCAGCTGCTCGATGTCCGTGCTGATGGCAGTCTGATCGAATGGGCAGGCCTTGCGGTGCAGTTTGTTCAGGCACATTTTGCACACGGTGTGTCCGCAGCCCAGGCTGATGGGCTTGCGGTGGCTCTCCTCGAAGGTTTGCGTGCAGATGGGACACAACAGAAACTCGGTCCATTGCGGGGCTTGCACGGGCATTGTAGCAATGTGCGGTCTGTGATGCACCGGTCCCCGAAATCTCTCTTATTGCTGCATTTGTATCAATGTGCGTTTGCGTAAAGCGATACGGCAGTAAGTCCTAGAGGTTCCACTGGAACCGATAAAGCTCTTCCAAAGATCACAGTTCTTAAATAGTTCCTGGCATTGTGGGGGCGTTCAACACATAGTGTGAAAAACATAACCTGCAAGACAAAAAAAACACCAATGATTTTACTATGCAGAAAAATGTGTAGTTCATTCCAACATGCTAAATTAACCTATTTAATAAAAATAAAACATTTAAAAACACCTTTCTAATATCATAAATTGAGCCTCATTTATGAAACGTAAGCACGAAAAACTTGTGTGATTCAATGTTACTTTTCTTGAAACATTTCAATATTTATATATTGACACAAAATAACACAAACACAAAATAAAAGTTTGTGTTAACATAATATATGTGGGTGCACTGTGTATAATTGTTTGTATTTTGCGTGTATATTTAGGAAAAAAAAGTTTTTTATATATAAAATATTTATATTTAAATATAATAAAAATTATATATAAATATATATACAGTATATATGAAATTATTTCTTAAATGTATTCAAGCATGTGTGTGTATATATATATATATATATATATAATTATACACAGTACACACACATATATTATGTAAACACAAACTTTTATTTTGGATGCGAATAATCGCGATTAATCGTTTGACAGCCCCATAAAGTAATAATTTAAAGTAAATGGTTTCACAAACTATTTACAAAAAAAAAAAAAAAAAAAATTGGCTCACTTTATAAATAAGGCACAAAAAATTGTATGCATCACTTTTGATTTTAAATCAAATCTCAGGAAAACTTCATATTATCCAAAAAAAATATTTTTCATACTTGAAAAATATGTTTAAAAACTGTTTAGTTAACAATCAAGAAAGAAGCAAAGTAAATTTTTACTTGGCTACTTGGCCTTTGTTGAAAAAAGAAAAAAACAATAACATGAATGCAAAGATTAGCCCACAATCATTAGTGCATGAAATCATATGACATGTTATTTTTGTAAAGATTTCTCTCCCTCGTCATCATAGACAATCTTATCAGTGACTCAAGTACAGTAGGTTTATTTTGGTAATGGTATCAAAGAATACCAACTTTCAGCGATCATCACATTTCAACTCTTAGGCTGCAGCCTGACAACGCCTCTCCGGCACGACAACATGAGCTCTATAAAACATTCAGACCCGGGAAGTCCAGAACAGCAGCAATAACCTGACTCATCATTTATTACAGCTTAGTCTGCGACTGCGACCGTACCTTAGTGCTGCCCAATATAGCAATTATATAACCAAAACAACACCCCCGCAGCACAAAACCAAGGGGATTTCAAATGACTAATAATAAGTAAAACACAACTGCTTCGACCGCTCCAGAGGGAGACATCACAAGGAAGCGTTCAAGCTCAAATCAAGTTATGTACCCCTCTCTGTGACTCATCTCACAAATATCAAAACTGCGTGAACATGTTTCTAGGAGCAAGAAATCAGAAATACTGACCTATAGGGAACGGAAACATGAGCCATAACAAACATCACAGTTTCTATCACATGCGCGGCAATTGCACACTCATGCTTCATTAACAAAGGGAAGCTGAAAATAAAATTATAGGGTAACAAGTAACACGCCTGTTTCCTTTCTGAAATGCTGTAAAAGGAGTGCAAATCTCAACACTTAAATATTCCCATTCAGGACTCCACCAAATCGCAATGACGCCGCCAACTTTCGTAAGGATTCCTGTAGGTATTTTTAGCACAAGTCATGTGCAAGTGTAAGAACTGACCCCTTAAAAATGTGATGAGTAAACAAACCAAATAATACATAAACACTAATAATTTGTCTATGATAATGTAGAATAAATAAATAAATAAATATATATACACATATAAACATGCATTCTCTTACCAAATGGGTGCATATAGGCTATTCAAATATGTGCTGTTATCTTCAGCAGCCACCCATGCAACTAAGGTACTTCCTCTTGTGGCAGCCATCAAAAGCACCGTTTTAGGAGGCCACACCCACTCATTTTCTTTCTGACATAAATGTATTGGTACCAGGATTTCCCAATACCTATATTTAAGTTTGATGTGTGATTGAGAAAATGGGAACCCCTCTCTCCCTCTATATATATATATATATATATATATATAGAGAGAGAGAGAGAGAGAGAGAGAGAGAGAGAGATATATGTGTGTGTGTGTGTGTGTGTGTGTGTGTGTGTGTGCATATGCGTGTGTAATATACATTATATTATTTTTTTTTAAAACATAGGCCCATCCTAACTAGTGACCATCCTAACATCCTAACTATATATATATATATATATATATATACACACACACACACACACACACACATATAAACAGCTTGTTAAAATGGAAAATGGCCATTTGGTTTAATGTTAACTATTACCCAGCATCTCCAAACAAGGAACTGATGCTAGAAAATGCAGTGTGTAATCATGACATTGCGACCTGTTTGTCAACTTCATGTGACTAATGTGAAGGTAAATGTATTTAATATGAATCAGCAAGGTAATTTACATGCCTGCATGTGATTTAAAAAGTAAAAAAAAAAAGTTCAGATGCCAATGTGGTCATGGAAAAAACGACCTCAGTTCAAAGCATGTTGACTTATCTCTTGCAATTTGTCTATTGGAAACCCCCTAAAGCAGGTTAAACAGATTTTGAGTTCACTTGATTTATCAAGACAGGATTGTCGAGTTTTATACAACTCATAATTTAACAATATACAAAACTACATTCATCTTACATATTGAATATTGTGCTAAGAAAGAGACAATAAGCACGTGTGCACAATCACATTCCCATAAGATTTAGCATCCAAATAAGGCCAAACAAATTTAAAATTATTAAATGACCCTCCAAGAAACTCGTAGTCTAACACTTCTTGAGAAAATCATATTTCTAGGCCTATGTAATATTTTGCATAACATCGTACCCCTCAGGACAGGAAAGAAAGAAACAAAGCAATTTGACTAGGGATGGATATAACTGGAAAATAATAGAAAACGCACAAAAAACTTTAAATATATAGAACCCAACTATACCTTTAAATAGATACATATACATAAATATTAGATAACCTAGTCGATTATTTATAATAAAGAAACATTGCTTATTGAAAAGCTAAGATTGTCAATCTGTTAGCTTGTCAGCTCGCAGGTTCATCAATAGCTATTTCTTAAAAAACAAAAACACCTTACTAATACCTACCTAGCACCAGGAGACGTTCCCTACATATTAACATTGCATATCAAATTTAAGCTAATATAAATGTGCATTTCGACAGTTTAAACCGAAATGAAATTTGAATATTAAACAGCTAGCCGGTGTGCTAACAAAACAAAGCTTGTAGCGTTCGGCTAAATGTCATTTGTTCAGTTAAAACGGAACGATCGTTAAAACATTGGTACTTGAAATAATATTTTGTTAAATTAAATCATTTTTGAAGAATACAAAATGAATAACTAACCGATTGTAAAATATATTCTTAGTTTCTTACTGTATAATGTGCTCGTGAGCGTTAGCATTTATGCTACGCCGGTTGATGCGTCTTAGGTAACATTAACGCGTACAACGTTCGATTGTCATAGTTTTAGGCGTTTCAGTCGACTTACACCTATATTTAACGATATTCACTGCAGAAATGTCGATTTTGGCTTTATAAACGATATTCAAGCGAAGCTGCTGCATTACTAAGCTATAGACTGTTCGCATTGTTATAATATTGTTATAATAAACGGTGTATATATAAAAAACAGAACCGTAAAGGACAATAAACCTAAATGTTATAAGGAGTGCAATATATACTCACAATATTTGGTTCAGCTCAATCTTCACAGAAGAAGGGCGAGTTTCGCCTGCTGCTGTAATGAAAGTTTCTTTGGACTGTCTGACTGAGTCTCAGAGCTCAACTGAGAGAAGTCCAGGATTGCGCAACCGGAGATCATCCTCAGATCTAGATCGTGTCCTGCATGGAGTTATGCGTCTTAAAATCTGCATAGACAGCATTGGTAACGTCTAATGCTTATTGTTGCCTCAAAAAACGTCTAGGTTTTGAAACACAGCCCATACTCACTGATGAGCCTCTTTAGATTTGGTAAAGGGTGATGAGAAACCAGAGGTTGTGTCTGAGTTTTGAGCAAATGCTTTGAAGAAAATGGTTCGTGTGCTGGCTAATCTCCATCATGAAATGGTGTTTACTAGTACATTGCTATGCAGTTTCAAGGATGCCATTACAGTTGTAACTTACCAGGTCCAGCACAAATCAAAAGAGCCTCCATTCTGCCCACTAGATATTTTTATGTAAATCTATGCAGTTTTGTTGCTAAACATTTTCCTACTAATTAGTTAACTGATGCGTTTTTCATGATCTATCGGGATATGTGAACATGGCTGTGATGGTCAGAGATAAAACTCACAAAATTATGTTATATAAAATAATATGTAATTTAATTGAGAGACAGATACATGTACATAAAGTCATTTAAAAAGAACATACAAAACAAAAGGCTAAAAAAAAAGTTCTCCCTCTGAAATTGTCAGACTTAAGGTAAATCAGCTGAGTCAAGTAATTCCAAAATCAAGAGAGAAGATTTTAAAAGAGTTCAAAATTAGTAAAGGGAAAATGAAACAATACTGCCTTGAGTAAGTCACTTCATAAATGGCACTTTACTCGATTCCTGTACATGACACTAGAGTCATCAGGTAAATGTAAAAATCCTTAAAGTTTTCACATAATGCCCCTTTGGGTTACAAAAGAGAATTTACAGAAATAAAACATACTTAAAATAATTTACTGAAAAGGGTCTGTAGACTTTTAAAAATAAAATCATATTACACTATGTAAACAATGAAAGACACATTTTTGAGGATTGAATTAAAACAAAGACATCCCTCGAATCCCTTTCACACACAGAAACAACTCAGTAACCATTTGGAAAATGGTTCATTTTAGAAGAGCTTGGGCAGCTGCCGTAACCTACTCAGATCCAGGAAATTTCCCACTGAGCCCTGAGGCTCCGTGACTTCCTGTGCCCTCTGGTTTTCAGTTAGCGAGTACCTACGTTGAGGCAGGACATTGTTTGCGTCATTCTCCTTCTCCAGGTTCTTCCCACCACGCATAAGCAGCTGCATTTTGGGCCGCAAGTCTCGAATTAACTGCTCTTGAGAGTCAACAGGAGTCATATAGAGATTGGAGACTGCCTTATTTGTAATGTTTTTGAGAACCACAGCACTTTGTTCTTCGTGGTCTTGCCTAACGCTCATGTTCTTGGACGTTTCATGCTGTACGGAACACCCGAGAGCGGAGTCTACCAGAACAGCGTCCTCTTGCTCTTCCTCACTACTGTTTTCTTCTTCAATCAGTCCGTATTTCTTCATGTACTTACAGGTAGCTAGAGACATATTGCTGGGGGAGAGTATACTGAGTCCAACACTGCTCTTTTCAGCAGGTCTTCTCAGGAGAATTGTGCTAGGGTCTGGATGTGGCCTGGAGGACTGACCGCCCAACGAGAGTCTTGACAGTTGCGAGTCGCTTAGGTACTTAAGTGCAATAGCATTGGCCTCCAGGCTGAGGTCTACACTGCCGCTTGGTCCCCAAATGCTCGTCCCCACAGGTTCGGAAAGAGCTAGTCTTGAAATTACTGCATCAGGGTTTATGCAAGCGAGGGTACTGAAGAGAAAAATGTGTTAGAAACAACACTTTTGATAATGATTTGATTAAACAATCTGTCAGACTATGACATTACCTGGCACTCTCTACAGTTGCACGTGTCATCTTTGCTTGGGACGAGTCCAAGTCTACGTTCACCCCGAACTGTTGGAGTTGTCTTAACGTTGCACTTAAGACACGGTCCTGATCTGGTGGACTGGATCTGTGCTTAGCTTTTTGAGTTTGGACTTTGGATGTTGTCGGTGATTTTCTTGACTGACGACCTACAGGGGACAGACTTTGTCTTTTTGAGACACTCTGTTGGTCTTGCTCTACCTTTTCAACCACAACCGTAGAGCCTTGCAGACGACTTTGCACCTGACCCTGGTGCAGGAATTAAAACCCAAAGTTAGTTTGAATATTAATACTGTGTCAATTTCAAATTAAACATTTGCAACTAAAGCGTAAAAATGGGGCCATACCAGTAGTTCTTGGTAAAATCTTGGGTCGTCCATTTCTTCATTTTGGCTCTGTGACTGTGAGGGATAATACATGCTAGCACTCTCTCCCAACACTGGACTGGAAAATGAATGGGCTCCAAAACCAGACGACATGCTGCATAAGACAAATAAAGTCACAATAAACAAACACTGCCTGGAAAAAAGCCTTCTACAAACCAATTTAATGGACTACATGAGGTTAACAATTGGTCCGAAAAAAAAAAAAGTTTCTGAAAAAACAGGACTCATTACTCGTGTTGTGGAGATGTTGGATGTAGAGATCCTGGACTCTGCTCTTCAGAGTAATGAAATGCATTTTCAGATCCGAGTCTGGAAGTGACCGAAGTGTCATTTTGACCCTCAGACTTTGGCTCCATCTCGGTTTGCCAATCCAGACTTGAGGCCTTATGTGTGGGGGCCTCTTGGGGAGCAGTCCAAAACAAACTCGCCCCTAAATAACAAACATTTACATTTATTCATTTAGCTTACGCTTTTATTCAAAGTGACTAACAATTGCTATATATGTCAGAGGTCGCACGCCTCTGGAGCAACTAGGGGTTAAGCGTCTTGCTCAGGGACACATTGGTGTCTCACAGTGGATTCGAACCCTTCATGACATTGAAAGCAAGTGATGACAAATGCAACAACCTTCCGTCATAGTACCTGTTCCTACAGCGACACTGACACTTGTTTGTTTAGGTGGAGATGTAGCGATTTGATTGGCTTTTTCCTGCTGAGCATGTTCGCTAGATGATACTGGAGTCGTCTTGCTCTGAGACTCAAGGAGTTTTTGAATCTGTTGAGAAAAGTCTGTTAACAACCAGCAATGACCGGTCAATGCAAAAAAAAAAATGAAACAAATACGAACCTGGAGTTGAAGTAGCTTCAACTGACGCTCTTGATCCATGAGCATCCTGTACGCATCAGCAGGAAGCAGACCCACAGTGGTGTCCTGGACTTGGCAGCACTGGGCTTGACAGGAAGGGACTTGCTCAACAGAACCTTTGTTGGGGTTAACTGTGGGGAAACACGGACTGGGTGCTGGAGAGTAGTGAACTGGAACAGCAGAATGGCAAACAGGACTTTTAGTGGGAGATATGCGACAACCCAAAGACTGCTGAGAAGGCGAGTGGCAGTGATCCCTAGGTGAGACACTCTCAGCACCGCAATGTAAACCACAAGGATTGTGCACAACAGTGGGACACACTGGTTGCTCTTGCCAGTTTTTTTGATAGATGGGAACATGGGTGGGTTGGTTGGTGCAGCACCTGCAAGGGTTGGTGGCTGGGGTGCTATGGAAGAGTCGTTGTTGGGACGGATGAGGGATGGGGGTCTGGCTAGCCATTACTGAACTCTTTCTGGCACTGCAGTGACCCGATGTTGGAGGTTCGGAATAAACTGATTGGGGTTTGGTCGGACCACCTTGCGAAGAACGGTGCCTTTGTTGATGAAAAGAGCCATTGGGCGAAGCAGCGTTCTTTGTCGAGGAAGATGATGAAGACGATGATGTTGATGAGCCCTCTCTCGATCTTATTGAGGGCAGGGATTTTCTATTTGCATTGGGTTGTGGTGTTTGTTGTCCTGGATAAGGATGTAGTTTCTTTTTCGGCTGAGAGAGGACAGAAGTTATTGGTCTTCGGATTGGGGGTGGTCCAGGGACACTACTCTGTTCCGGAGGTCTCAACACTGAGAGGCCCTGATGGGCAGGACTAATGCTTCTCCGCTGAATATTTGATAGGCTATGAGGAACAGCAGTTGAGGAGTCTTGTGTTTTAACAAAACTCGCATCCAAAAAACTGCCATCTAATACCATAGAGAGTTCTGGAACTGAAGGATGAACACGTCTAGTCTGAAGAAAGAAAGAAAAAAAAAAGAATATTTGAACCTGCTAATGGTAATCCAACCAGAATATATAGAGGTATAATAGGGGTGCAAGGCCACAAGTTAACAAACCTGCTGACTGACAGGATGAGGGTTTGGAGATGGCCGAGGAGAGAGGTCTTCATCTTCTACACCTGAGTCATGATCACTGATAGACAATTTATTCTGAGGAGCAACTGAAGATGCTGCAAGAGTCATCCTGATAAGACAAAGCAAATATAGAGCGTTATATTTTCTCTTGCTTTGAAAAATACTGTATTCTGTCAGATACTAAACAGCCAAACATAAATCTAAATTAAATAGAAGTTAAAATTGTAGATAAATAAAAAGACTGTACCCTGTTAACACAGTCTGAGAGAGCACTTCCTCAAACAGCACAGTTTCCTGATTTTGGTTCTCAGCACTAAGCTCAAATTGTAGAGGCCGTCCTTCAGAAGGCTCAACATTCTGTATTGGTAAAATATGTAGTGTGATTAAAAACTTTTAATAATTAAAGCAACCCTGAAAACCAATTAGCACAATACAAAAAAAGATCAAATGGAAAAACACAATTGCTTAAGAAATATTAATTTATTTCACCGCATATTCAGATTCAGAATTTGTCGAGTACAAAGGCATAGACAGTCTGACCTTGTAAAGTGTGAACGACTCTGTGCTGGTGAGCAGCTGAAAGCTCATTTGCTGCTGCCCAACACATGGCTTACACTGGTAGAACTCCGGATCCCGGTGAGTCAGAGAATACAGGACCACCAGGAAAGCGCCTCCCTCTGACATCACTCTGGAAAGCCATCAGATGTAGACATGAACAGGAATTTTTTGTTTTCGATAATCATTTTTCACTAAAATTCTAGCAACACAATGAAGAGATCACATTTACTTTGATTTTAACATCAACAAGAATATTAAAACAATGCTTTCATAAACAGATCAGTAATCTACAATTATCTATGAAAATAAATAAAACATGAAGCTGCATTCAGAATGCATTTCATTTCTGTAATATGATCAGCATCATGATTATAAGTGGGGTAATATTTTATTATTTAGCTTTAAAACATTTTATAATAATTATTTATTTAATATTCCATATTTACAAAATCAGAATAACATACACCTATGCATACATTTTAATTTCATGTTGTCTTTATATTTGAGCCCTTCTTGAAGCTAACTGACTTATTTTCTAAAGAGCAGATGGATGGGACACTCACTTGTCTTGGAGGGCGGAGCTGTGCAGGTACCTCAGACACCACGCCCACACCAGAGGATTATGGATGTGTGTAACGCCACTCAACCATCTGCCACAGAACAACTGTTACACACCTACCTCTGAACATCTTGCAGGACTCCAAGCAGGTAATTAATGGGGCTGAATTATTATACCTTCCAACAGGCTGAATAAAGGCGGCAAGACAGTCACCATATCTAAACACTTACATTCCTACTAACGGGAGCGTGTAAGCCTTCGGATCGGATTCAAGTACGAGGAGAAGTTTCCTGGTCTGATCCATAGTTAGAAACCTGAGACAGAATGGCACATTTTAAAACACAAAAAGATTCTGAGGAGGATCCATGGCTATATAAGAAAAGAGAAGTGCTTCCTTACCCACGTTTCCTGCTGTTTTGGGTCACACCTGCAGGGCTGCTGAGGTTTCTGGCCAGTGCGGTAGGGATGACGGGCACTGCCCGGACGGGGACGGCATCTAGCGTGCAGGCCAGTGTGACAGCCGCCCAGGACAGGTCAAAGGTGAGTCTGTCCATGTTCTCAGAGCAGCTGAGACGAGCTCGCAAGGTGAGAAGTTTGGACAATTCCAGCATCTCTTTACTGCAGCAGAAATGTTGAAGCATCTAGAAAGAAACATGAAAGCAAACATTAATGGATCAGTTAATCTAAATTTTAAATAAGACGAACAACAGAAATGCTGGAAGGAAATAACCATTTAGTTCACCCCTAGTTTATATGCCAGATGGAAGCAGTGCCACACATACATATTATAATCACCTGTCTCTAAGGAACACTGTGTCACAATCAGGGCAGCTGTTACAGACAGGTTACAGGGTGAAGCTGACTACTATTATGTCTCAATAAGTTGCCATAGCAACAAGAGGCAAGCACCCCAGCCATTTGATCCTAAACATGTCCTGTCAGCAATTCTCAGATCAGTTACCTTAAATGAGATGTTCAAATCGTCCCCTGAGTGCACTGTGCTGCTAGTAGCATGCTGGCCTTCAAACACACATGGCACAAGGATGTCTCCGGGGAGCAGGGCAGCTGGTGCTTTCCCAGGACTTCCCGTCTGCTCTCTGCCCGGATCGAAACGATCCAGGGTTATCGTCACACCTTCCTCGTCTTTGAAAATAAGATCTAGTCACTAAAACACATCGAAATATGAATCTTTGTAAGATGTCCAAATACAGGCAATATACTAACCGCTGTCTACTGTCAGCGTCCCAAGCAGGAAACAGAAAAACTGAGGCATGTTGGTCTGTCTAGCATGCCGGTGAGCTAAACGTAAGGCTTTTTCCACAAGTAGCAGTCTTGGATTCCTGAAAGACATCAAATGTTATTGCAATGTAATTTTTTTTTTGATGAGTTAAAGCAATGTAAAAACATTTGTTGTCATAACTTACTGATCATTTTTTTACAGCGATTTAAACAGTGTTTTACAATACTCTATTAAAAGTCATCTTCAGTAATTGCAAAAGCTGAAAATATAATAAAATGTTCAGTGAACAACTATTTCAGTTAGTTCTAATTTTTGTTAAAAGTTGAACTAAATTGACAAACTAAGTCTGAAATAAAAAAAAATTAAAGTTAAATGGGAATAGAAAAATAAGAATAGAAAAAACGGTGACACTTTAAAAAAGATTTCATAAGTTAATGCACTAACCAAAATTGAGCAATTCATCTGTTAAGTATTTAATAATCTTTTTTAAAACGAGTTAATAACAACACAACTGTTCGTTGTTAGTTCATCTCCACTCACATCCATTAAATAATATTTACAGATGTAACTTTTGTTTTTTAATAATGTTGAAATTTACTAAGATAAAAAAAATAAGATTTGTGTTAACAAAGTTACTACACTAAGTATAAAAAATAATGAACAATACTGTTAGTTTATAAATATAAGTAAAATTGACTATGACTGCAAAGAAATGGCCAAAAATTCCTTTAATTTATTACAATTTTAAAATTAACACAGCGATACACATCAAAATAAGGCTAAATCCAAACTACATTTAGCTGTTGTCATCATCATCCCTGGTACATGAAATTTAATCAAGATTGTATTTTTTCCCCCCAGTAAGTAATCACATGACGTTGATGGTGTAAATATGAAAATATGGTTCACCCATAAACATAGATGACAGAAAGACTCACCTGTAATATGAGAAATGCAGACTGACAACATCACCACTGGGAGATGGATCCCAGAGAGAGACTTTAGATGTTGGGAATGTCAGAGGACTGAGGACATTGTCCAATGACCTTAAAAGCATGCAACATCATTAGCAGTTACTTTTATTGAACAATAACAACTTTTTAAAATAACTAGTGGTTTGGGTGCAATTCATTAGAAAGCTTAAAGTAGTCACCTGAGGTTTTGAAGGGTTTCTGTTCTAACACTGTTCTCCAAGATGTGGGCTGGCAACCCTTTAAAATCCACATGTACACGATTCATTCTGTGGGAAAAATGCCTCCGATGCTTTAGCCTGAAGAATGCGCTTTCAAACTAACTTGCACAACATTGACGTTACTCAGATATGATGTTTTGATACGTTTGGCAGGTTGGGAGACTTAGCTTACATGCTAACATTACAATACTGCTAGAAACGGTTAAATACACGCCGATAGCAACACTTAAAATATATTATAACTGTTGCAAGGTATTTGATGTCTTACCTTTGGGCTGTTTGAACGCTTTACTCATGTCTTCGTCGTGTTTTAATCGCGACGCTGCAGATCCTGCAGGGTGTGAGCGAGAATAATATGGACCACGAATGTGTAAAACGGTCCTTCTAGCCCTTCGAGCGGTATTAACCGCGCCAAGACGAGTGTACTGACCACTGAGTTAATAATTGAACTCGTTTAACGTGTCAGAAAACGAAGAAATACCAGTTGTCGTCAATAAACAATGAAATACAAAACGAACGCAACAACTCGAAAATAAATTGTGGCGCTGTTTCCAGGTTCCAATGGCGGGGCGCTCCGGCAGGGTGGCTCAGCCAATAGGAATCCACTTGGGAGGGGCGCTCGACCAATCAGAAGAAAAGAACCGGATCCCTTGCTTGCGGAGTGTTTTTGAACGGATAGAGTGTGTGAGAAAATAAGCGTACTATTTTACACGTGAATTCAGCTTTTTGAGGCTGTTTATTATAGAAAATAAAAGGATGTTATAGAATATATGAGTTTATATAATGGTATTGTAATCGTAACTTTGTGATCCTTTGAATATCTTTATTAATCAAATTGTATTCTGATTTCATGGGTCAGCATAAAAAGATCTGACATAAGTATAATACAATATACTCAACACATACATTTGCACTTGTTGCTCAAAATAAAGGCAATTTGCTGATGTTTTGAAGAATTTGCATATAATTAAATTGATATTTACATCATTCTAGTTTAGCTGGAAAGAAAGATTGTATGTATTTAGTTTTATTTTATTGTTTCCTATAAATATAAGAATTGTTAGCAAACTGACTGAGCTAAAATGTAGCCTGGCAAGTTAATATGCACTCTTTGTGATAAAAATAGTACAAATAAAGTCATTAGAAAATTTATTTTACAGGCTTATTATTACCCAAACCCTAGACAGCAATATGTCTTTTTTCAATTCAGTTTTTTTTTTTTTAATTTCTATAATAGGTTTCTATAACATCCTAAAAGCTCTTATTGCAGAGATATCACTAACTGGTAGGTTATTATGGAACAATAATAAAACAATGCATTGATATTCACTTTTTTTTACTTTAGATACTTAAGTAGCTTTTTAAAAAAACGAGTAGCCTAGGCCTATTCGGTAGGCTACATTTAAATGTAAAAATCACAAATTTGAATTGTAACGGAGTGATATTTGACCAGTTTTATCTGTACTTTCACTGAAGTAAGGAAGTTGTGTAGCCTACTTTATTCACCTCTGGTTATTATTATTCTGTGATGGTTGTGCTCTTCAGACCCCCCTCATTCCCTCACCCGCTGTTTCCGCAGCAACAGGGAAAAGATGGCAGCCCTCGCGACCCTCACTCAGGTAATACCTGCTAAAAACACCCATTACAAGAGAATAGTGAGCAAAAACACCGGTATGAAGAAATAACTCTATGAAATAGACACAAATCGATCTCATTATTTGCGCTACCGGTTTGTTTTATCGATATTTATAGTGAAAATATCCCGGGCCTCGCAAGTCGGGCTCAGATTGCTAACCGATTAGCTCGCTTTATATCTAATGTCTGTGATAAAATACGAAAAAAGCAATGTCGTTTCAATGAAATTTGCGATAAACATTCAGTAGCAAGAACATAACGATAACAGCCATTTATATGAATGAGAAATATAGTAAACCGAGATGAGTTAATGTAACTAGCTAGCCGCAATATATCAGAACATCACTTTATAACAGAACACTATAAAACTGTCAAGACGCCTCACGTATAAAGTCGTAATTTCAGTAACTTATATGTTTATAGTACAGCAATAAAAGCTGCTTAATTATACCCAACAACATTGTAATATAGATATGAACTCTCATAGCCCATATGATAATGTGTGTTGAACCGCTAGTTTAGCTTAGCGGTGATGGGAATTAGTGAGCATCAGTAACGTTAATCTTACTGGACTGCCTGCCTTGTGAATAGTTATGGACTAAATAGTATTGTAAATACAGTTATGTGCTCAACACATATTTAAATAGTTATAAAAATGTATTTTAATTAGGCTTTCATTTATTTCTTATTTCAGTTTAGTTGTAAGCTAGTTATTTTAGTACTCCAATTATTTTCCAAGGCAACAGTTCTAAAATTTTACAGGCGGTTTTAAAGGCCGTGGCCGTCTGAATTGAAGCGATGCATTTTTGTATTAAAAATTATCCATGTTTGTTACTTTAGAAACAATGATCTCTGTAACTATAATAGTATATTTGGAAGAATATTGGTAACCAGACAGATGGTCCCCATTGACTTCCATTGTATGAAATATGAGCAAAAGTCAATGGGGACCATAAATTCAGTAAATGATGAATTTGCATTTTTGGGCAAAACTATCCGTTTTACAATTATATAATAGTAAAATTAATGTTACAATTCTCAATAAAAAGCATATTTTTTCATATATACCCTAATTTATTTAATCATAAAGTTTCTCTTTCTCTTAGCTGTCAAGCGGGAACCCTGTATATGAGAACTTTTACAGACAGGTGAGGCTATATTTCTGTTATTCTTAATTTGTAGATCATCACAGTGATCTTTTTTAATACATCAGTCTTTGTTTGCGACAAAAACCATAGGTCGACCCGGGAAACACCGGGAGGGTTGGACCTACAGAGGCTGCCTTGTTCTTGAAAAAATCAGGCCTGCCAGACATCACATTAGGAAAGGTTAGTGTTTGGGTAAATCAATGCACAACTTGTTCTGAAATGATACTTGGATATTCATAATTCACAACAATATTCATTTCTTCTCAGATCTGGGATTTAGCTGATCCAGATGGCAAAGGTTTCTTGGATAAACAGGTAAAACTATCATAGTTTATAAGAGCATCAGTCAGGATCAGAAACCAAATGCTAACTTGATCCCGTTGTGGTTTATCAGGGATTTTACGTTGCCCTGCGACTCGTGGCCTGTGCGCAGAGCGGGCAAGACATCAGCCTTTCCAGTTTAAACCTCCCCGTTCCCCCTCCAAAATTCGTAAGTCTCAGGGTTTAGGGTTGAAATCATTGTACTCCATGCAGTTTGAGCCCACAGACTTTCTCATTTCTGTTCTAGAAGGACCACAGCAGCCCATCACTGAGTTCTGTGACATCAACCAATGAGAGCCACTGGGCTGTGCGGGTAACTGTTTTTGATTGGTTATTGGTTTTTGGACCACAAATGAACAAATACGTTTGATTATTTGTCCTAAATCATCTTGGTTTTGTTTTTTCAGCCTGAAGAGAAGAACAAATTTGATGGAATTTTTGAAAGTCTTGCCCCAGTGAACGGATTACTGTCCGGTGAGAAGGTCAAACCAGTACTAATAAACTCCAAACTTCCTGTGGATGTTCTCGGAAAGGTAAAATTCAAATAGGTACTTATCTATCTATCTATCTATCTATCTATCTATCTATCTATCTATCTATCTATCTATCTATCTATCTATCTATCTATCTATCTATCTATCTATCTATCTATCTATCTATCTATCTATCTATCTATCTATCGTTCTATCGTTCTATCTATCTATCGTTCTATCTATCTATCGTTCTATCTATCTATCTATCTATCTTCTATCTATCTATCTTCTATCTATCTATCTATCTATCTATCTATCTATCTATCTATCTATCTATCTATCTATCTATCTATCTATCTATCTATCTATCTATCTATCTATCTATCGTTGTGTCCATCGTTCTATCTATCTGTCATTCTAGCTATCGTTCTATCTATCTATCTATCATTCTGTCTGTCGTTCTATTGTTCTATCGTTCTATCGATTGTTCTATCTATCGTTCCATCGTTATATCTATCATTCTATCTTTCCACGCATCCATCTATCAATCATTGGAGAAAGTTACTTTTAAAAGTAATGCTTTACAATATTGGTTTACTCTCCACAAAAAAGTAAGGAATTGCATTATTTTTTATGGAAAGTAATGCTTTACGTTTCTTTTGCCTGACTTTTTCTCAACTGGGCTGATCTTGCTTGTTTGAAATTTTTTAGTAATGAAAAGCGAAGTTTTATTTTTGGCAAATGTAAAGACAATCTAATGTTTAACACTTTTACTTAAGCTATAAAGAAAAACGACACACAAATGATCTTTATCTAAAGTCATTTTTGCTAATTAGTGTGGTTGAATTGGATCATTGAAGGTCAGCAGCAAAGACATTGGTTAATAAAGTGAGATTAAATACATAAAGTATATTTGTGTTATTTAACATGTTTAATTATTGCAGGTTTGTAATATTCAGAGTTTGCATTTCACTGTTTTAATTCATTTTGAGGAATACACAGCGCACACAACGCCTCTGCCTCTTACGATTCCTCTCAACATGGGGACAGGAGAGATGTCAGAGTCTATAAATGGGATAACAAAGTAACATGCGTTACTTGTTTGAAAAAGTAACTCCGATATTTTGTTGTAAATTTAAAAGTAATGTGTTATCATGATTTAATACAATAGTAATAATGTAATAAATACTAGGGATGTCCCGAGCCAATCGCAAAAATCAGTATCGGGGACAATTAAGCATTCAGATAAGACAATCAAGCTGACTGGCATTCTGACACTGTGAGTTTCATGCTTTCTAACCTTATTTCCATTTTTTTATTGCAATTATGCTGCATATTTTACATATAAAGTACAAGATATATAAATAATTGTGACCACACAGTCTGTTCACAATGGACATTGTTTGTAAGAATACTTTTTTTTATGTTATGTATACATATAGTCAATATTCAATAACTCGGATCGGATTGGGGGCACAAAAAAAGGTTGTTCGGGACATCCCTAATAAATGCATATAATTTAATATATAATTAATTAAAATGCAGTTATTGATATTACATTTTAAAATGTAATTGTTAAATAAAACTTTTATTATTTTACGACTGTCTGATCAGGTGTGGGATTTGAGTGACATAGACAAAGACGGACACTTGGACAAAGATGAGTTTGCAGTGGTGAGTAATTATTTTTTAATAGCACACTTCATGCAGTTATCCCCCATGATGCAATGCACTCCTCTTCATCATTAAATATATTATTATTAAAAAAAAGAATTATGTTGTAAAATAGTGTGCAGTATATTTTATTGCATATTGCATACTGTGTGCTATTTTTAAAACACAACATTTTAATTATGTGATTTATAATTATATTTTAAAAAATTGTTGGCAGTAAAAAAAAAAAATAGTATGCTAGTAAAAACAAAGTGTTAAAACGGCATAATGACATTCGTCCAGGCTATGCATCTGGTGTACCGGGCCCTGGAGAAGGAGCCCGTGCCCTCCGTCCTGCCCTCCTCTCTCATCCCTCCATCTAAAAGGAAGAAGTCCTCCGGGTCTTTGTCCAACATGGTGCCAGCGTTACCGGGCAGCCCACCGCCACCTAAAGACAGCCTGCGCTCGACCCCCTCTCATGGCAGCATGAACTCTCTCAACAGTGCTGGGAGTTTGTCCCCTAAACACACCCTCAAATCCTCACAGGTATTATTGGTGTCTTTTCGTTTTGATGTTGTACAGAGGAATTGAAGAGGGTCTGATGGTGTCACTCTTATCATCAGCATTCGGTAAACTGGGTGGTACCAGTGGCAGACAGAGGGCGCTATGATGACATCTTCCTCAAAACTGACTCTGATCTCGACGGCTTCGTCAGCGGTCATGAAGTTAAAGATATCTTCATGCATTCAGGCCTTCCTCAGAACATCCTGGCACATATTTGGTACTATTTCAAATGTGCTTTTGATTTCTCTTCACTCTCACTGTTGTGATTGTCACATTCATCGCTTCCTCTGTTGTCTTTGTCAGGGCTCTGGCGGACACTAGGCAAATGGGCAAGCTCACACGCGAGCAGTTCTCCTTGGCCATGTATTTCATTCAGCAGAAAGTGAGCAAAGGCTTGGATCCGCCACAAGCTCTGATTCCAGACATGATCCCACCGTCCGAACGCGGAACACCGGGACCTGTAAGTCACATTAGCATGTTTACAACTGCGTGCTAGTAATGGGCTTCTGCACCTGACTGAAAGGTTGCCGGTTTGAATTCCAGATGAAGTGATTCAAGGTTCATGGAGACTGAACATGTAATGAGTGTACTGTCTTGAAATTAGTAGTGTCTGCCTAATGACTGCTTGAATGAAGTGACCTGGTCCAGAGTTGTGATTGTAAAAAAAAATAAAAAATTATATACACTACCGGTCAAAAGTTTTAGATCGGTAAGATTTTTTATGTGTTTAAAAGAAGTCTCTTCTGCTCACTAAGGCTGCAATTATTTGATAAAAAATACAAAAAAAACAGTAATATTGTGAAATATTATTACAATTTAAAAAAGTGGTTTTCTATGTGAATATATAGTAAAGTGTAATTTATTCCTGTGATCAAAGCTGAATTTACTGCCTCATTACTCCAGTCTTCAGTGTCAAATGATCCTACAGAAATTATTATAATATGATGCTCAAGGAACATTTATGATTATCCATGTTTGAAAAATGTTTATTTCAGGATTCTTTGATGAATAGAAAGTTTAAAAGAACAGAATTGATCTGAAATGGAAAGCTTTTGTAACGTTAATCACTACCATTCAAAAGTTTGGGGTCAGTAAGAATTTATTTTTTATTTTTGGGGGAAAGAAATTAGAAAATACTTTTATTCATCAAGGATGAGTTAAATTGATCAAAAGTAACAGTTAAGACATTTATAATGTTAGAAAAGGATATATTTTCAATAAATGCTGTTCTTTTGAACTTTCTATTCATCATAGAATTTTGGGGGAAAAAATGGTACATGACTGTTTTCAACATTGAAAATAATAATTTTTGTTTTTTGAGCATAAAATCAGCATATTAGAATGATTTCTAAAGGATCATGTGACACTGAAAACTGATGTGTAATCAGCAAAAGTAATGATGTTGAAAATTCAGCTTTCAAATTACATTTTAAAATATATTATTAAAATAGAAAAGTCATTTTAAATTGTCATAATATTTTACAATATTACTGTTTGTTATTTTTTTTTTTCATCAAATAAAGCAGCCTTGGTGATTTAAAAACATAAAAAATCTTACTAAAAATCTAAAACTTTTGACCGGTGTGTGTGTGTGTATATATATATATATATATATATATATATATATATATAAAAATAAAAACGTAAACGGGCAGGATTCTGAAATAAAATAAAGTCTAAGTTGACGTACTAAAATTACCAACACTATAGCTGAGATAAAAATAAAGCTTAATAGAAATATAAAAATGTATTAAAAAGACAAGCATGTAGCAAAGTTACTCAATCTTAATGAAAATGACTAAATTAAACGAAATGACTAAAACTGAATTAAAACAAAAAATGTAGAAAATAAAAGCTAAATCAAAATATTTATTATAAATACTATAATTGTATTTAAATAATTCTATAAAATAACACTGTCCTGTCAAAAGTAAAAACAAAACATTGTTTTGCCCAAAAGAAAATGCCTGTTTTTGCCATCTTTTGCATTGTGCCATTATTTTTTCCATGCAAAAATAAACTATTTAGATTTATTATTTGTCATGTATATTATTTATATTTGTTGTACTGAATTGAATTTAAAGTAAATCTCATCCTGACAATGAAATAAATCTCATAACTGTAATACAGTTATAAAAAATCCTCCTGTCCAGATACAATAATTAATAAAAATATAATAATAATGCAGGTTTCATTAAAATCGGAATAATTTAAATGCAACAAATAGTACTATGCTAAATAAATATTGAATTTAAAATCAAATATTTCATTTATTTCTAATTACTTTTTTGTATTTTGCAAGCTGATTGAAGCGGCGACCCTAAAATAGTTCGAATTTTCCTTGTGCAAAATGCAATTTTGACCGATTTTTTTTTTTTACATTTTATTATTATTATTTATTTTTGGGCCACCTACATTGACAAAAAAGAATGAGCAATGTGAATTGAAACAATATCACTTGATCATTTCAATGAAATGACTGATCACAATACAGATTTTCCCTTGCTTTAATGGGTTAACGTGAAGCAGCACAGTTTTGTCCCTCGTTTGAAGAGCTTCCTCTGTGTTTTTTTTTTTTTTCAGAGTCTGTCAGGATATATGACACCAGTGGGCTCTGAAATGGCTGCACTGAGCGAGATGCGCCGGGTAAACAGCCTGTTTCTCTCTCTCTTTCTCTTACGTTCTTTCATTACATGTATTTCCACTTCTTCAGTTAGGATTTCAAACCATAAATATTTAATACATCAAGAGAGCCACTAACATCTTATCACGAACGCAACCCGAATATCTCACCAAACAATCTTTTGTTCCTTTTCATCTACGTTTCAATGCTGCTGATGTTTTATGCCGTTATTCACTGGCTAAAATCAGGCAATAATGTTCAAGTTATGGGTAGGTAACGTTTAGAAAAAGACTGGACAAATGCTTTCGATGGTCTGTTAGCTGAGACGTTGAGTTGGAAAGCATTTGTGAAAGATCCAGTGCTGTGAAATGGTGCCGTGTCTTGACTTCCCCATGTTTTGAGCATCAGAGGTGGAAGACAAGCTCGTCTCTGCTCCCGTGTGGTGGCTCCTTGCTGTTCTCTACCCTTCTGTTTGTGTGGTGCTGTGATTGTGTGTGGTTCAAATACATCAGGACTGACTTTCTGTGCTGGACCCCCCCTCATACAGGACAGCTCCAGCTCTGTGGGTTCAGGCGAGTTCACCGGAATTAAAGAACTGGACGATATAAGTCAGGAGATCGCACAGCTGCAGAGGTAATACAATATACTGGCATTTAAAGGTGCTCTGGGAAAGATTAGAGCCAAAAGAATACAAGTTCACGTCTTATGATTCATTTTTTTTCTTTTTAATTTAATGAATTTTTTTACAATCAGTGTCATTCTTTACTATTACAGAGTGTTTTTGGTTAGCAGAAGAAATTAAGATTTTTTTCAGCAATGATACATTAAAAAACAAATGTCTTATAATGTGATTTATAATGTCACACAACTTTTATTCTTTAATAATAATATATATATATATATATATATATATATATATATATCGTTTTATATTATTTAAATAATTTATTAAATGCATGATTAATATATAAAATTTGTAAAAATTTGAATTTTTTTTATTATAATTTAATCCTGAATATGTTAATTATAATTATATATGTGTAAATGTGTCTATGTAAATTGATCCCAAAAAAAGAAGAAAAAAAAAACAGATGAAAAACACTTTTTAACTATTTCCCGTAGATACTGCAACAAAAAAACAGTGTATTACAAAAAAGTGCTTTTTCAATATTTTTTTAAGGTAAAAATTGTGTATTACTAAACAACTTCCTGTAAAGCACATCAAATTTAAACTTAGCCTCACAAAAGTTTATAATTTTTTTTTAAATTGCACTTAAAATTGAATGAATTGAAATTTCCTTTTTTTTTTGCAGAGGCGCACCTTTTTTTTTTTGCCTTTTGCCTCCTCCAATTTTTGTTGTCCTCCATTTTCTCAGTGGCCCACCACACCAAACCTAGTATATATGTTCCTTCTGAACAGTTCCCCTATAGATGACCTTGAAATGACCCTCATCCTCACATGCACACTTCAGAGGAAGAGGAAAGGTACCTGAAATCTCTTGGTGGTGGATGAGTTTCCCTCTCCCTGACACATCCTCATCTCACCCCCTTCCCCTCTTCACAGTGTCCGTTTAATGTGTGTAGGTTTTTTTTTTTTTTTTAAAAGAAATCTCTTGTTTCACTTGCTTATTCATGCTGCCTCAGCACTCTTGCTTTCACACACTGGGATACACTCAGGTAAAACCCTCTCTTGGCTGTCACGGTTCTTGTTTTGTGTGTGAAGGAGGCAGGTATGAGGGATGTTTTCTAGTTGCCAACAGTCGATAAAGGTTTTCGTGTTTCTTTTTCCAATTATTTCAACAGAGAGAAATACACTTTGGAACAAGACATCAGAGAAACAGAGGAGGCCATCAGACACAAAACCACAGAGGTTCAGGTAAACCTGGCCGTGCAATTATTAATTTATTAATTATGAATTGTTATTTATATTGGTAATTTAAACAAATATACTTAAAGTATTGTATATGTGTGTGTCTATGTAAATATGTTTTAATTTAAAATAAATATTATTAAAATAAAGCATTATATTAATAATAAAAATATATTTAAAGTACTAATATAATAGTATTTTATTACTATTATTCTGTGATAGATATTTGAAAAATACACTTAAACTATTTTTTAATGTATTTAAAAGTAAAAATATTTTAAGGTAATTTTATTTAAGGTAAGTATTATTTGCGTTATAATCAGGAAAATATACTTAAAGTTTTATTAATATTTAAAGTTAAATGCATTTATAAATTGTACTTTTATATACATCAGTAATATTTATAATTTAATACGATTTGTTTGTCATTATTTTTGTAATATTAATTATTGAAGTATTAATATTTACGAGTAAATGCATTTAGACATTTTTTAATATTTTTATTATTGTACTATTATTGTTTGTATTATAACATTACATTTTTGTAATACATTTTATTTAAAAGTTATCTCTTTTAATACATTTTCTGATAAATATATTAAAATACACTTACTATTATTATATTTAAAAGTAAAAATATTGTAATATATTAATATTAAATATTAGTTGTATTATAATTAGAAAAATATACTTAATGTATTATAAATATTTAAAGTGAAAATACATTTATAAATATATTTTACTATTAAATATATTTAAACTACTCTTATATTATTATAAATATTTAAATTGTATTAATTGTTTTGTGATGATATTAATTATCAATATATTATTTAATAAATCTGATAATTTTTTTATAAACAAAAATGATGTGAAACGTTTTATCAATGCCCTATATTTAAAGGTATATGTTTAAAAACAAATGCTATTTATTTTAATATGCACAAGTTATATGTTGGCATCATTGTTAACTGGATGCGGTTTGATTGACAGGAGATGCAGAATGATCTGGACCGAGAGGCATCCAGCCTCCAGGAGCTTGAGGCCCAGAAGCAGGACGCTCAGGACCGGCTGGAGGAGATGGACCAGCAGAAGGCCAAGCTTGAAGACATGCTCAATGACGTACGGCAGAAGTGCCAGGAAGAATCGCAAATGGTAAGCGAAAAACAAACAAGACAATTTACTAGATTCTTAGCTGACATTGATGAACGTTAAACCAATCCATAATATTTCTCTTCAGATCTCATCCCTGCAGAACCAGATCCATTCGCAGGAGTCGGACCTCCAGAGCCAAGAGGAAGAGCTGGGCCGGGCCAAGGCTGACCTGAACCGCCTGCAGCAGGAGGAAGCGCAGCTTGAGCAGAGTCTACAAGCTGGCAGGATTCAGCTAGAAACTATCATAAAGTCCCTCAAAGCCACGCAGGACGAGATCAACCAGGTTGTGCCTTTGGAACGTTTGATGTATGAAACAAAGTGTACACTAGGTGGAGACAAACCTCTAAAGATCTCTGTCATTTCAAAAGCTTTCATGCAAATTTGATAACTTAGGAAATTAGAAGGCAGACACCAGAAATTGATATAATTAATAATGCCAGAAGAATGTGCTTATCATTTATGTATGTAACAGGTAAAGCTGACTTGTGTGCATGTTGCAGGCGCGGAGCAAACTCTCCCAGATCCAGGACAGCCAACATGAGATCAGTAAGAGCATTGAGCAGTACAGCAGCACCCTGAACGGGACCCACGGGGGCAGCATGACCAACCTGGCCGACATGAGTGAAGGCTTCCCAGAGAAGGAGAACGGAGGTTTCGGGGCCATGGTGAGACGTCTCTTGTGTTTTTTAGTTGTTGTTTTTTTGAGTTGGAAGTTATTTAAGGTTGTATTTTAGGCTTCTCTCAGAGCGTGAATGTCAATAAACTAAAGTTGATCATAAAAAAAGTTTAAAATGCAAACAAAGTTCTATAGTACCAATCAGGGCCGTGCAGAGACCTCTGGAGGGGCAGGTGCTCAAAGTATAAAATGGGGCACATGGAAACAAGGCTTTATAGGGCTGTGCTCAAAATATCAATACAGTAATATATCAATACAGATGAGTCTGCATCGATACAGCAGCAAATGCATTGATGGAGTTTTGAAAAAGAACCAGAACAGAAAAGACAAATTTAAAGTTTAAAATTAAAAAAAATAATTGATGTGCTCTATATATAACTCTGGGATTAGAAACTGAAGCATCTTAAGTTGTTCCAACCTGATGGCTTTTTCTTCTCTGTTATACAGAATAATAAAGAACAGCTGTTATAGTGAACTGTGTAGGACAAAATCAACCTGGCCCATGTTTCGTGCAGTACAGTATAGTTTTATTTAATGGCATATCAGCATCTGTGGCTATTTTCATGGCAAAAACTGATTTACAAAAATACAAGAGTTACATTTTATACAATGAAAATAAAAAACAAAGCAAACAGAAACAGCAATTAATACTTTACAAGATTTTTAACATTAATGTGATGCCTGTTTAAAGTGAGTTTGCTGCCTTTGCTGTTGATGTTGTTACTGCTGCTGCTGATACTGCTGGAGTTGATCTGAGACTGTAGACATTAAAATAAACAGAAATATAGGGTATTAGCTGAATAAACCATTTTTTATGTGACCATGTCAAGATGTAAAGATTGCTGACAGTGTTTGGAACTGGCTCACTAGTTCACTGACCTGCTAAAGCTACAGATTCTGCCCAGGCTGCTAAAGTATATAATACAATAATAGTATATAATAGTAACGTTACTAGGGCAGATGTTCACAGAGGCTTCTGCACACAAAACATAAGATGCTAACTGGTAAGCCTATGTGATAACTTACCAGAGTTGTGATAATCATTTTTATGTGAAAATATTTTTTTAAATAAATACTGTAATAATAATAATAGTTTAAAGTAAAAATAATAGTTTTTAGTCAAATAACACCCCTCCACGCCCGTGAAACTTTTCTCCCTCAAACAGCAAGCTAACGTTACTTCTACAGCCTACACACAGCAATACAAACGACATCTCTCTGCATGCTCTCTTCACGTCGTTCTAGTAAAATAATAATAATAAGTAAACAAACATCAAAATCACTTCGCTGAGAATAAAACACCACTTACCAGCAGCCGCAAGACTTGAAGATATCCTCTGGGAATGCGCGATTGCGCGTAGCCGCGCGATATTAAAAAATGCGCGTGCAGCGTGAGGAATCAGGTGAAAGGTCATCATGTGGGTCATTTTATTTACGGCTAAATTATTATTCATTCATTTTACTACTAGTTAGATGGGGCAGGCATCCACAAAAGTGCCTTTAAATACAAAAAAAGGAGAGGAAATTTTGTCTTGACAAAAGGGCACTTTGGGCACCAAGGGGCAAAAGGGCAGGTGCTCGAGCACCCAACGCCCCCCCCCTCTGCACGTGCCTGGTACCAATACTAAATGGATTGAATACTATATTAATTCAATACGAAATTAAATTCTAAGATTCAATACTAAATTAATTGTAGTATCTAGCTAGGTATCTAGGTCTGTTCCAGTAAAAAAACAAGTTTATTTATATTTATTTACATTATTTTTTATTTAAATTATTATTATATTTATTATGCTTATTTAAATAATAATAATACAAAAATGTTATATATGTATACATTTATTTATTATTTATAATTATTTATATATATATATATATAAATTTATTTATATATATATATATATATATATATTTATATAATATATATATATATATATATATATATATAAATAAATAAAATAATAAATAAATGTATACATATATATATATATATATATATATATATATATAAAACATTTTTGTTTTATTTATACATTTATTTATATAAATTTATTTATGTATTTATTTTTTAAATAAAATCATATATAAATGTTTTTATTTAAAACATACATATGTATAATATTTAAAACATAATATATTTTTATACACACACATTTGGTATTTATCTATTATTATTTATTATATCAGGGTTCCCGCGGGTCCTTAAAATGTCTTAAATTAGATATTTAAAATTTAAGGCCATTAAAAGTCTTATAAAGTCTTATTTTTAGGTATGAAAGGTCTTAAATTTTAGATGACACTTCGACTCAGTCATATCTTAATGTTTTCCAAATTAAAACCATCTAATTTGCGTACGTATTAATTTTTATCTTTGTGGATTTGCTTGTTCACGTGACAATTCGCGTCACATTCGCGGCAGAATAACGTCCGTCTCCTGCACGCGAGACAGGAGAGGAGGAGAGAAGAAAGTTGGCAAATGTCAGTTAAGTCGTAAGTTAATTCTTTATGTGCGTAGAGGTGTGCGATGTGTATTGTCTATTATGATACTCTATTCTTTTAACGATGGACGAGGCACTGTGAGTGTGAGCTGACATCGCATTTGTCTCTCGTGTTTTCACGGCGTGATGTGTGCAGTTATAGGCATAGACATGTATTTATTATGGTTATAGGTATGTCCCCAAATTAGTTTTTGCCTTATATTTATATCATGTTGTTATATTAGAATATCACATCAGTAAGAGTGCCGTTTTCCCGTGCACAAGTGTGATATTTATGTTATACAATAGTTAAATTAAAAATAAAGTGACATTGTGAGTTAGTTTTTAGCCATAACATTATCGATATTGTTTGTTTTCCCTTTATTTCGCCGACTAGAATTTCAAAATGAAACCATAGCAGAGTCTCAATGCAACAGACAGCGATGATTTCTTGAAGGAAATCCGCGTCTTGAACGAGTCATTTTAACGATTCAATCACTTGCTTCTTTCCCGTTTGAACAAATCGGTTGAATGAATGACTCCCTCAACTCGCTTATTAAGACAGCGATTTGCCGCCGCCTACTGGCGGTTTTAGTTTCATATTAAAAGTAAAAAATTAGAAATCATTTCACATTTAAATATTGAATATTGATTTTTTTTAAAAACCTTATAGCTTGATTTATACAATTGTAATTGGAGTGTATATATTAATGCCACTTCTAAGGCTGCTTCTGCGTCTACTCTGCACTGCAAAGATGGATTTTTGATTGAATGATTTAATTTGACTGCTAACAGTGGTACTGTATAATTATTGTGTAATGAAATATTATTGTATAAATAAGTATAATTACTCTATATATGTGATGCACGTGATGCATAACTCTAAATAAGTTTAGAAAAAAAAATCTCCATAAATAGGTGAAAATGCCCTAGAAATCAATTTAAGGTGGCAAATATTGCACATTAATTAATAATTTCTGTCACTGCTGTGAACTGACCACTGCATAGAATATGAAAAATATAAATATCTCCGCGAGTCTGCTGTCAACAACAGGCCTAAACCAGCCATGGCACCAGCACAAAAACACAATCAGTAAAATATCAACTATTGTTGATAAAAATTAGTTGATATTTTACTGATTTTGTTTTTGTTTTGTGTTTATCAACAAAACGTGAAAATATCGAGATATATTTTTGTCAATATCGCACACCCCTAATGTATGGTATTAATTTTGATTTCTTCAGGTCTTAAAAAGCCTTAAATTTTACTTTAAAAAGTGTGCAGGAACCCTGTATATAAATTACTACTATTTATTATTACTGAGAACTACATTTTTTTTATGATTGTTCATGCTCATACTTTCTCACTAGCAAGCATGAACCTCACTACTCATGCGATTGCAATTAAAATCCCGTTGACATTCTCTAGTTTCTGATGGAAAACTTGCTTGCTTTTCTTTCTGCCTTATGCCTTGCATGCAAAGGTACAATTTGGAAACCCAGCACTGTCAACAGATCTTCTTAAGTTATTTAGAACAGCTGAGGTGCTGGCTTAAACTGCAAAATGTAGGCATAAAATGACTTAAATTTATACTTTCCATTCTTATTTCAAGTATTTTTTTATTTTTTATTTTTCAGTGCTTTGAGGCAAATATTTTCGTCTGGACCTCGAACACCATGTTGGTCTACTAAGGCATTTTTACACTAAAGCTAGAATCAATTAAAAAAAAAAAAAATGAATGAATGTGACACGATTTCTACAATGTCTTCCAGAAAGGAAACACATTGGCTAATGGTAATTTAAATTCATTACAGGAGGACCCTTTCAAAGTGAAGACCACCACTGTGTTCAACAGTGCCCCTCAGGAGATGCACACGGACCCCTTCCAGTCTGAAGACCCGTTTAAAACAGACCCATTCAAAGGTTGGTTGTGTAATCGTTTAATCTTTCCCTTTTAATCGGCTCAAATTAAATACTTCTCTTCCTTAGCGAAAGCTCTGGATGCTATACTAGCCGTTTTGTAGGGTTGGGTTCTGAAACCGGTAATAACCAGACCAAAAATTCCGGTGTCTGAGTTTCTGAGCATCAGTGTTATTATCTTGTTCTGAGTTATGTTGAATGGATATGGAAATATAGCCTATCTATATGCGATAATTACGGGCCACTAATAATATTATTATTTATAAATGTATAATTAAACTTGTTTAAATGTATAGTTTGGTGTTTTGTTTTTAAAGATATCCTAATACAATAAATGCATTAATCTCTCAATGGGGTATTTATCATTAAAGATATAAAGTTTGCAATCTAACGGTCAAAATGACCGCTTCTAGCACTTCTAGTGTTACACAGATTTCCCTCTCTTTTTTTGTTTGTTGTAGGTGATCCGTTCCAGAATGACCCATTCTCAAAGCAGACCACCACAGTTGCAGGTAATGCATGAAGTGCATAAAATTATTTATATATGTAATATATATTAGGGCTGTCAGTTAAACGCATTATTAACGCAAACCCATTTTAACAGGGTTAATTTAAATAGAAAATATTAATCAGCTGTTTAACCGATTGAATTAATGAATGACTCAACCTACTAATTTAGACATTTACCACTATTACTGTATTTACTGGCAGTTTTAGTTTCTTATTTAAATATTATTTCATATTTTATTTTATTTTATTTTTTCATATTTTGGGAGTAGTTTCCCAAAAAAATCTTCCTTTTGTGGAACGTATTTGAAAGAATATTGGTGACCGAACTCTTTTTGTCTAATAAAAAGTATGGCTGTTGTAGCCAAAAAGTTTATGTAAAATAAATTCTATGTTGAATAAAATAAAGCTACTTTTTGTAATATCTATTTCAGTGGCGCCAGATTTTTTTAAAAGGTTTAAAGGGGGGCGTGATGAAAAAAGTTTGAGAACCACGGGTCTGTTTGGTGTTTCTCTCATTTAACACAATGGCAGTTTCTCAGCCAAAGTTGATGTGCGATTAATTAGATTAAAAAATGTAATCGCCCTAATAATAATTCTAATTACATTTTAAATAAATGTGTGTGTGCATAGCAATATAGATGAATTTAATAATGAATGAATTATGAAATGCCACTCATTGTTGATGCATGTAACGGTTCCCTTGCAAGAAAATGTTTAAAATGGAACATTTGATTTCTGTTTATGAATCAATCATTGCACAAAGCTTCATGGTATTGAGCATCATGTTCAGGTACCTTGGCACAGTTCCCCCTCAGTAATAAATGAGGTTTTCAGTTCCTCAACTCTCATCAAATGTGGGCTAAAGATAGAAATATGATAAGATGATATAATGTAAATGATGATATTTAAATGCAAGACCGTCCCCTGGACAGTTACATTAAGCTCTAAACTCTCTCAGACCCTTTCGGCGGAGACCCTTTCAAAGAAGCCGACCCATTTAGGACCTCTTCCGAGGATTTCTTCAAGAAACCCTCAAAGCCGGACCCCTTCAGCAATGCCGATCCTTTCAGCAAAAGTGCCACTCTTCCCTCAAAGGTACCTAGAAAACCTACAACGTCACATTAATCCCCTTCAGGTTTGAACTTTTGACTTGTGTCCCAACTATATCCTCTCTTCTGGTTTTTAGAGTCATCATTTCTCGAGTAACGACCCCTTCATCTCCACCAGCCCCAAACCAAAAGGCCCAGGTACTGTTTGCACGTCTCACACTTACTCCGCTGAATCATATCATCCCTGCCGCTCCCTTTCTTTTGAAGATGCTGAGAAAAGATCAGGCTCTTCGTTTCTGCACACAACAATGTGACCTGTGAAACTGATCTGGCATCAGCTGAAAATGCTTTGTTTTAGCTTGCGAACAGCTTGAGGGACATGGGTGTCTTACACAACTCATGCAAGGCGAAACTACACCTCGTGCCCACACTGTTGTCTTTTTTCGAAGACCACCTTGTGAGAACTTGTGTGAAGAAGCCGTTAAAAGAGTTCCCATGCAACACGTCCGCTCGCAGGCCCTTTGGCTGCCCCAACTACGTGAAAATCCTCTGCAGTTTCAGTAAACAGTTAATGCAGCATTCGGCTGCAACATTGTAAGGCGATGCCAGGAAATGCTCAGCACTTTTAATTTTTTTTTTAAACCTGTGGGTTGAAGGCAAAAAAAGAAGAGAGAAAACAAAGCAACTTGATGCATATCTCAAGTTTTGAGTTTTTGAAATGGAAAATTAATACTTCTAATTGATTGCTTCAGTATGCATCTAATTTTGTTTTATTGCTATTGTGATTAAGGGAAGGAGTGTATATTAACTACACATATTGACTTAAATAATGAAATAAATGTCAGTTATTTATTCAATTAGATATAAGTCAATAAAAGACTTGGCCCATGACCATAATATGGTCAATTTTAAATAATGAAAAAGAAAAAATGTCTTTCTCATTTAATACCATGGGGAATAATCATTGAAGTATTTTATTGCCACTTTTATTGGCTAATTTTTTATTTAAATAAAAAAAAAATAATTGGTACTTTAATTAAAACTTTTTATATCTTAATTTAATGAAAATTGATAAGATAAGTGATAAGTGACCTCGCTCGAACTTTATTTTAAATAATAATAATAAAAAAAGTTTTTTTTATTTAAAGTCCATGTCATTCTTTCTTCAGTTGAAAATAAATTAAGGTTTTTGATGAAAACATTCCAGGATTTTCTCCATATAATGGACTTCATTGGGAACCAAACGGTTCAAGGTCCAAAAGACAGTTTCAGTGCAAACTGCAAATTGTTCAAAGGGCTTTAAACGAATCCAGACGATGAATAAGGGTCTCATCAAGTGAAACGATCGCTCATTTAAAAAAATATATAACTAAGTTTAAGTTTTATAAGCTCAAATGCTCGCCTTGCTCTGTTCTGTGTGACTCTCCTGTTCGATCTCGTTCATCTAAATGAACAAATCTTTTTTCGAGTCAATTCATTTTTTTAAAAAAAAAGTGAACTACTCCTTTAAGCAAATTACCACTTTTATTGAAAGGTGGAGAAAAGTGGGAGCAATAAATTTAATATTTTATTACAAATATGACCCTCAAATATATTTCAAAACATTTTAAAAAGTCGTAACATACTTTTTTTCCATTGTCTTGTTTTCTCTGCCAATTCCAGATTTCTTTGGTACTCTGGACCCGTTCGGGGGCAGTACATTCGGCAGCAATAGCGGATTTGCAGACTTCAGCCAAATGTCGAAGGTAGTGAACACCTTTCAGTTGTTATGTTTACATCTGGGACTTAACTTTCTCAGGTGTTTGCAGCATGAGTTTTGTAAGATGTGGTTTTGATTGATGTTCCACCCATAATTTGCGTGGTTTGCACCTTATACCCTGATAACGGCCCTCTGCTTGTTCTTTCCACTGCGATTTAACATAGGGCTTCGTAGATGACCCCTTCAGTCGAAAACAAGACATGCCAGCCCTCCCGCCCAAGAAAAGCGTGCCACCGCGGCCCAAACCACCCAGTGGTAAGCATTTAACCTTCATCTTGAGGCCCACAAACGGTGACCCTTTTCAAAAGGTTTATATCATCATCTAACCATAAAAGGTGATTAATCAAACTAGTTTTCAGAATCTCAAAGTAAACGATTACTAAAACTACACACAGCTGTTGTGCCGGGAACCTGGTGCAATAAACAAAATGTAGACAAAACAAGCAATCTAAACAAGCAACATGAAAGACCTGTCGAATGTTGTTTGGGTGGATCACTCTATGCTTTTAAAGACGTAAAATCTTTAAAGTGCAGCAGTAAGATCTCTTTTAACTAGTTGTTTGTTAGCAGTGAGAGTAAAACAGCTTTGAACAGAAAGTTGTTTACATCTGCTCACACACATTCACGTTTCAGAAGTCTTGCAACTTCAGGCAAAACTGAATTTCGCCTGTCAATAATGATATCTAAGACATCCTCGCTCTTCCTCCGTTGGTTGTCAACAGGAAATCGAGTTACAACCTTAATGTGTTTTGGTTAAGCTTTTTATTTTTCCAGTGCGCAGTAGTTCTTATCTCTGTCCCAACTCCAAAACGGTGCACAAACAAACCTGAATGGACGATAATTTATCACTTGGAGAAAACGAAACCTGCGCTGTTTCCTCTCTGCAGTCGGCAGTTAAAGGAAAAGGCGAATCTGTGCTGCTCACTCTTTTTTCTGCAGCAACTTTTTTTTGTTTTGTTTTTTTTTTCATCCTAGAAAACAAGGGAGTGCTTTCCTGGTGTAACCGAGGTTTAAAGTTGGGTATAGAGGTTAGAGAGAGAGGTTTGTTCGGTGTGCTCAGGGTGGTATAGCTAACATGCTTCGATGATCTGCGGTTAGCATGCACTGCCAGCATTGTGCGCTAATCTACACACCCTCCCCACTTCCTGTGTGTGTGTGTGTGTGTGTTTACACACTCTAGTGGGTAGTGTGGCCTAGCTGCCACAACTTTTCACACTGGAGTGTGTGACATTTTAACCTTTCTCCTCTCTTAAAACATATTTTAAACAATACAAGTGAACAATTAAAGTATGTATCCCATAACTTGTTGATCTATACAGTATGTTTTGAGCAGTAATATGCTTAATGAAATTAATAATTAAAAGATCAAAAATATGCAACAGACAAGCAGGTTTAAAAAAACAAAAACGTTTTATTTTAAAACGCAAACCGAAATGTTTGTAAAATTGAAGATTCTTTTATTTCTGTTAATGCACTGTATCATTAAAGAGCACTGCTTGTTTTTGACCTTTTTCCCCTCTGCAGGGTGGAGTCATTTTTGCGGTTTAGTATTCCGTTTACTGACAGAAAGAAACTGATTGCTGGTCTGGTATAAAAACAGCCCTATTGAACATGCGGTTAACACCTTTAGAGGAACCAGCAACCAGTTTGAAGTTCTCACAAGCAAGTGAATGCCAGTCTCGGCAAATGGTGCAAGAGGGGGAAAAAAGAACTATGCATAAGCAGTTTTTTTTTTGTCCGAAGATCCTTGCCGGTTTGTGATTACATTTCTTGCGAAAATCTCTAAAATAAGCAAATTGCTTGTGCAAACATTCTGCTTTCCTATAAAAGAAATAACAGCGTTTGAGCCATATTTAGTGCTCTTGTTGGGCGTGTTGAAAGAAACCGACATTTCAGTGTTGTTTTGCATTGAGATACCGCATCATACACTTTTGAACCACTGTGGGTTTTTTGGTTGAGCTTGTGGAAAGATGTGCAAATAACAATAATTTTATTATTATTTATTTAATAATTCAATATTATTAAGAGTTATACTACAAATCACAGGTTTTGGGTTGGTTAGATATTTTTTTGAAAGAAGTCTCTTCTTACCAAGGCAGTATTTATTTGATCAAAAACAGTCAGTATTGTGAAATAATATTACAATTTTAAATAACTGTTTTCTATTTTAATCTATTTTTAAGAGGTATTTTATTCCTGTAATGCAAAGCTGAATTTTCAGCATCATTACATCAGTCTTCAGTGTCACATGATCCTTCAGAAATCATTCTAATATGCTGATTTACTGCTCAAGAAACATTAATTATCAATGTTGAAATGAAAATCTGATGAATGGAAAAAAAAACAGCATTTATTTTAAATATATATATAAAAAACATTTAAATGACTTTACCGTCACTTAAATTTAAAAAATTTAATTTGTCCTTTGTGATTGTATTACTATGTATATATTAATGCGATTTATCTTGAGTTAACTATGACATTAATGCGATTAATCGCAAGTTAACTATGACATTAATACGATTTATCGCGAGTTAACTATGACATTAATACGATTTATCGCGAGTTAACTATGACATTAATGCGATTAATCGCGAGTTAACTATGACATTAATACGATTTATCGCGAGTTAACTATGACATTAATGCGATTAATCGCGAGTTAACTATGACATTAATGCGATTTATCTTGAGTTAACTATGACATTAATGCGATTAATCGCGAGTTAACTATGACATTAATACGATTTATCGCGAGTTAACTATGACATTAATGCGATTTATCGCGAGTTAACAATGACATTAATGCGATTTATCTTGAGTTAACTATGACATTAATGCGATTAATCGCGAGTTAACTATGACATTAATGCGATTTATCGTGAGTTAACTATGACATTAATGCGATTAATCGCGAGTTAACTATGCCATTAATGCGATTAATCGCGAGTTAACTATGACATTAATGCAATTAATCGCGAGTTAACTGACATTAATGCGAATAATCGCGAGTTAACTATGACATTAATGCGATTTATCTCGTGTTGACTATGACATCAATGCGATTAATCGCGAGTTAACTATGACATCAATGCGATTAATCACGAGTTAACTATAACATTAGTGCAATTAATCGCGAGTTAACTATGACATTAATGCGAATAATCTCGAGTTAACTATGACATTAATGCGATTTATCTCGAGTTAACTGACATTAATGCGATTAATCGCGAGTTAACTATGACATTATTGCAATTAATCACGAGTTAACTATGACATTAATGCGAATAATCTCGAGTTAACTATGACATTAATGTGATTTATCTCGAGTTAACTATGACATTAATGCGATTAATTGCGAGTTAACTATGACATCAATGCGATTAATCGCAAGTTAACTATGACATTAATGCGATTTATCTCGAGTTAACTATGACATTAATGCGATTAATTGCGAGTTAACTATGACATCAATGCGATTAATCGCAAGTTAACTATGACATTAATGCGATTTATCTCGAGTTAACTATGACATTAATGCGATTAATCGCGACTTAACTATGACATCAATGCGATTAATCGCAAGTTAACTATGACATTAATGCGAATAATCGCGAGTTAACTATTTTAATTGTTTGACAGGACTATTATTTAGTAAATAAAGCAATCAGAGCTTATTTGACAGTTATTATGAAGTTATACAGTCAAGGATTTTAAACCCATGAATTTTCACCTTGCACAATGGAAATGAAATTTGCAAAGCTTTTAAATGAAATTGCTATTTCTCAACAGGTAAAAGCACTCCTGTAAACGTGCCGGGATCCGCAGATTCGGCCAAGACCAGCGATCCCTTCCAGCCCTTCAGTGCCGACCCCGTCGATCCGTTTCAGAGTAAAAAGGGGGTTGGAGACCCGTTTAGTGGCAAAGACCCATTTGCTCCATCTGCCTCAAGTAAAGCCTCTAAAGACTCTTCATTGGGTTTTGCTGACTTCAGCTCTGTAAGTTGAGCTTAGTGATACTCTTCTCTTGTCCGGTCCACTTGTTTCTTTCCAAAATCCAATTAAACCCAACCAACAATCCAAAAAAAAAGTGCTTTCTTGCGATCATCAGTGAGGTTTCCTAGAGCAGACCGCATCATTGGCTTCTGTACCGCTCAGTCTGTCGCCTTGTCCCGGCTACTCATTTATTTTCCTCCATGTCTGCAGTCCATCTATCTGTGATTAACTCACCAACGCACAGAATTTTGGATAATAAGCCCTAATCAAGCAGCCAGACATCTCTCTCTTTCAGTGACTCAAATACAGTTGTTTGTGGTGCACATGGCTATGATGTCATATGTTGTATTGCTCGCCACTTGCACAGGCTTGTGGGAAGAGGAGCAGTCGCACTCAGTGAAACCAAGTGTCTTCGGCTAAGCTAATGTTGCTTCTCGCTGTTCTTCTGTGACTTTTTTGTTAGCTTTGATGCAAATGAATCTTGTTTTTTTGCGGAATGTACTTCAAATCAAGATGAGACACTAAATCGTTTTTGCGAATTTTAGTTTGATGGTAAAAATTGGTTTAAAATCATAGCAAATTATCAGATATTTTCATGTTTACTTGTAAATTTAAGTGACCTAAAAAAACGTCAGGGTTAATCTTTAGAATCGTTGTGAAAATGTCAGTATTTTTCCTCCTTCTTTTGAAGCATAATCTGTGCCCAGTGTCGGTATTTTAAAATGTCATTAAAGGAGTAGTTCACTTTTGAAAAAACACTTTTGCTGATAATTTACTCACCCCCATGTCATCCAAGATGTCCATGTCTTTCTTTCTTCAGTTGAAAAGAAATTAAGGTTTTTGATGAAAACTTTCCAGCATTTTTCTCCATATGATGGACTTCACTGGGAACCAAACGATTCAGGGTCTTATCAAGCGAAATGATCGCGCATTTAATAAATAAAAAGTTTAATTTCTATAAGCTCAAAAAATGCTCGCCTTGCTCTGTTCTGTGACGCACGTTCTGTGACTCTCCTGTTCGAACTCGTTCATCAAAATGAATGAATCTTTTTCCGAGTCATTTGATTCATTCAACGAACGAACTAAACGAACGAATTGACTCGGAAAAAGATTTGTTCATTTTGATGAACGAGTTCGAACAGGAGAGTCATTAACTTAAGACCCTTGTTCATCGTCTGGAATCGTTTAAAGTCCTTTGAACAGTTTTGTCTTTTGGACCTCCGACCTTGAACCGTTTGGTTCCCATTGAAGTCCATTATATGGAGAAAAATGCTGGAATCTTTTCATCAAAAACCTTTTTCTTGTCGACTGAAGAAAGAAAGACATGGACATCTTGGATGACATGGAGGTGAGTAAATTATCAGCAAAAGTTTTTTCAATAACGCGAAAGTCCGTTAGCTAGAACAAAACCTCAGTGTTTATAGTGTTGTGTCTGATGTCGGTATTGTCGCTTCTTTTTGTCTGCAAAATGAACCATCTGATTGGCTCCTGAGGAGACAAAATATTCTTGCATCCTGAAAGTGTGTTTGCTTCAAAAACATCAGTGTTAGTGTAATCAAAGTTTGTGATGTCAGTATTTTTGCCTCAAATCTCGATAGTTTGTTCATTTGAACAAAACATCAGTGTTTGTTTTACCGATGCATCTGGTCTATTTTCACCCGATTGTCCGCAAAGTTGAACGGTCCGATCGTGTTCTAAAAGAAACATTGATTTTCTTTCTTATATCAAGCAACTCAGCCTTCTAATGAAGTCCTCCTGAATTAGCTTTGCTTCTCACCGTTCTCTTATCAGTCATCAGTTCATGGCTCAAGTGTGGGCAGATTGTATTAACACATCTGCCACGAAGTCACACTTCCACAAGTTAGTGGAACAAGCATAATCATCATTTTCTTATCTCAGCCACTGTGTTTTCAGTTCACTTAAAGGTTGTGTTAGGAGGAGAATTGATGTCAAAGTATTCCCCAAAATGACTGAGGTCCAATTTTGAAAATCGATTAGGAAAGATCGTATGACGTGGGAAGTGTCAGTATCACTACTCAGCTCTCAGGCTGTTGTTTTCTCCGCATGGGATCAGTGTGCGCTTCATACTGCAAATCCGCTTTGATCCTAGTGTGTTTGACGTAGCATCATTTTCATCCGCCCTGCCTCCTGTCCTTAGTATCGCTGCGCATGACTTCGGTGCAATGGCCCTGCTAAACCATCTCTGATTTCATCATGTGACCAAAAACTCCCTGGAAGAACGATAATTGCATCGTTTACAATGAAAATTATGCTTTTTACAAATTACCAGCAGTAATATTACTTTGTATCAAGATTAATGGAAATGTTTCCCAACCCCAAAAGATTGAAAACGATTTTTTAAGACTAACTATTTTTTTTATTAAACCCATTTATTTAAAACAAATTATAATGTCATTTGTAGTTAGTTTATGTATGTACTATTAAAAAAAACTCCAGGGTGGTTTGGCAATGATCTCATGCACCTGCAGTCAGCTTAGTGTGCATGTTACGTTGCTTATAATATTACGCTTATTTATCACTGTACACGATTTGAAAAAGCTTTGTAATGTCTTTTCCTTCTGTCATTTTCTTGCTGCATGAGATCAATGCACGTTCATTTTCCTGTCCATGACATCATTCGCTATTAATGACCAATTAAAAAAGGTCCATCATGAGTCATCAGTGGTAGTGGTCTGTTGGTGTCCAATCGGTATTTGTGTGCAGTTCGGTGGATGGTTGCGTGGTAGTTTGGTGTAAATCTCTTTTGTGTTTTTTAAATCCATTCCTCTCTTGCAGGAACTGAGCGAAATAAGGTAAGATCTGTCTGAAAACGTGGTGAATCTTTCTTGTCTTTTGCTGTTTTGCAATTTCAAATGAAGGTCACCGAATAATGTGACAAAGAAATGAGTCGTGCATGCTTAAATTTTTCATTTGTACATCCGTGAGATCAAACTGTGCACTTTTGATTTGATTTAATGAAGTATTTTCTTTTAATTACATTTTTAATCTGTCATCAGCGAATATTGAGCAAATCGATTTCTGTCCCATTATCAGCACCGAACAGATTTGCAAAAAATCAGTAGTTTCAAGTGGTCTACCATTGTTAGGACAAACAGAGACATACCCCAAACTCACCTCATTGGTTGATTCAACGTCAGATGGATTGGTGTCGCTAATGGCTACAATGATCTCATGAAATGGCGTATGTATGACACGCCAAATCGTATTTCCATTTTTGCCGTTCTATCAACACGCATATCGCTTTTCAGCGTGTTTATGAACGCCGTTGGCTTAACGTTATATATACCAACCCCGTCCCTAAACCTACCTGTCACTGGGGTTAATAACATTTACGAGTCTTCCCTTACCATCCTTGGAAAAAAATATCGCTCCCCAGATGCAGATCTACATTTCGCTTCGTTTCACTCGGAAATTTAACGGCGTGTACATACACGCGGAATCACTCGGACATTTAACGGCGTGTACATGGACGCGGAATCACTCGGACATTTAACGGCGTAGACATACACGCGAATACCTCAAAATTGCGTATAGATAACACACCACTTGGCTTGAAAATGGCGTATGTTTATGCAAAGTCATGATGCCATGTTGCAACATCAGATGGATTGGTGTCGCTAATGGCACAGAAATGACATGCTTAATGTTTTTTGATGACTTCTAATATCAAAATTGAAACTCTTTTTGGTAAAACGTGGCACAAAAAGATTATCTGTGTAGCTGTTGGAAATATGCATAAACTATGCACCAATTTAGTACAGTTAAACTGGATCTTTTAAAGCACTGTACCGATCAGTTCAGACCACAACTTCACACCACTGTGCAATCCCCAATTTGGGACCGATGGGTCTTAATGTGGCGTGTTCCTGTTTTTCCGGCCCAGTTTGGTAATGAAGCCCAGCAGATGGAGTGGGCGAAGCGGGAAAGCGAGAGAGCGGAACGGGACCGGCTGAAGAGACTGCGCCAGCAGGAGCAGGAAGACCTGGAGCTGGCCATCGCTCTCAGCAAGGCCGAGATGTCCAACGCCTGACCGCCATCCCCTCAGATCCACCCTTCTGTACACTACAGCGAAGATTGTGTGTGTGCGTGACGGACCAAGATAAAATAATTGCGAGTGGGACACAGTACCTGACAGTTTCAACCTCTATCCTTTAGTGTTCATGTGCAGGAGGGCGACCTATGGTTTGTGAATCAGCTAACTCATTCTACGTGCACTGCATTAACCTCTCAGATGGAGTATATAGTTTATTTAAAGTGTATTAGTGTGTGTGTGAATGTGCATCAACAGAGCCATGGACATTTAAAGACCATTATTGGTCTCTGCAGATCATTATCTCCACTGGTGGGGAAAAAAGGGACTGAAACCGATAAGAAAGTTACGGTTTGATCCTTGTTCGTACCAGAAACTTGAATTACTGACGCTACACCCCCCCACCCCCCACCCCCCAATGAGCCCTTGAGCAAGGCACTTAATTCCAGGTTTCTTCTTGAATTCAATCGCTGTAAGCATACTGTAATTGGATTTGGATAAAGCGCGTCTGTTAAATGATAACTTACTAGCCCTGGCTGTAGTCAGGATGGTACACACTGGAATTACAGCTGAGCCTGCAGACTAAACGTCTGTGGAGATCTTGACGAGACGGAAAGCTGAACAAATCACAGTGTGATTTTGCAAGTGTCGTTTAAGAGTTTGATTCAGAAGTGAGCTTGTTGTCTTTCACAGAACTGTTCAGATGAGAAGGATCAGCAAAACTTCTATAACTGCACTGATTGTTTAAATATTTGACCATGTTAAAAGGTTTAGCTGGTTAACACCACTGCAGGACTCAACAGTAAGGTTTTTTTGTAGGCCTCATGACTAGGCTTATTTTTTTATTTTCCTTTAAATGTTACATTTTTTTCTTTACAAAAATCTTGTAAATACGTCTATCAATCAAGTCTATTGGTTTGTCGTTTCATTTTATCGATCTATCTATGTTTTATTGATTGCTCTGTTCTATATATCAACTATTGTTCTTTCATCGTTCTATTGTTTTATCTAAATGTACGTACAAAATCAACAAGTCTTAGATATTTGGGGAGAAGGACTGCAAGCGACTTGCCAACTGAACTGCCATCTAATGAGCCAACCTTTTTGTTGAGTTCTGCACTGTGGTGTCAAATTTGGTTGCATAAAACAAAAACCGATGCCACCATCTTGAAACAGAGTAGATTTTGCCATTTAGGTTTTCGTCATCTTCAATTCGTTACTAGTTGTGTTTCGGCATAATTTGTGGCATAGTTATATCATTTTTTGCTTGAATGTGTGAAACGCATTTTTTTCTTCTTTAATGCGAGAATCTGCGCGAACAGATTTAAATGTGTTATATGTCTGGAGTACTAAACACCTGTTGGTAGCTAAAAGCACAAATTAGCCAAAACAAATGAACACGGTGATGTGAATTCATGCGACATAGATTCCTTTAAAAACGGGCAATTGCTGTTGTCGTTTATTGCTTGCTTCGCCCTAACTTTTAGTCAGTATTGGATTTGACTTGAACGTTTTGGTGATGGTACTTCCTGGCACATTTCAAACCTGTGTTTTATTTATCGCGCTGCGTAATATCAACATTTTTTTTTTTTAATGGACCATCTGCTGTTCTTTAACAGTAGACTGTTTTACTGGTACTATTAACACGTTTTAACCCATGAATGATCTGTTTTCATTGAATCATTGGAATAGCTGTTTCCTCAGTTTGAATCTGTAATGTGGTTGGTCATTACAGGTCAAATTTTTCTGCGTGATGATTGATGCTCATGTCCAAAATTGTGGACACAAATGTGTAATGTTAAGATGAACAACTGTGACATATCCCAGTACACTGCTAACTTTCGGCTACGTCATCTTTTTGTTCCTCTTTTTTTTTTTCTTTACTCCCTATTAGCTTGTGTTGTTTTGACCGCAAATAGCTGCTTGACACTCCCTGGTCATGTTAGTGTCACACTAAACAGTGTTACTTTGTCTTATTTAAAATGTATTAGATGGAGCCTAGCTCGCAATGAAACTCGTGCGGTGGTTTTTGAAACCTGGTTTATCTGATTCCAGTATTACACCAATCTTCATTCAGTTGAGCGTTTTTTAACAAAACCGTACGTCTTAACATATGTTTCGTACGTTGACAAAACCGTACGACTGGAATCGAAAGCCAGTGTGTCCCAGACACGGATAACGTCAGTTTTTGGCATATGAAGGTTTTTTTTTTTTTTTTTCTGACATAATGTAGGCAAGTGGGTTGATAAACCTGGGACTTTGGTCCCGGCTTTATTGCCTTTTCCTGTTACAAAAAAACAAGATAACAGAACCATTCAAACTAAAATACAAATCGCAAACGTTTTGTTAGCGCTCCTTTTATGCTGTATTTGTCCTTTATACCTCCACTGTGCAATAGTTTGTATATTTTATTTGTTGTAATACCTGTACATTCATTTGTTTTCATATCCTGTTTTATTATCCATGTTTTTTTTCTCTTTTTAAAGAAAAAAGAAAGTGAATATTTTTTTAGTGACTTGTCATAATTTTGGGGCGTATGTCCCATAAAACTCGAGCTGAATGAATTCCTTTTTGGCCTGCCTTTAACCCCTCGCCCGTGCAGATAAGAGCGATATTAACCCGATAGAGAAATGCGTAAGAGTATACAGAAACCATGTATATTATGTGTTATATTTGTCCTATAAAACATGAGTAACTGCACATGTGTAACTCTAAACATTTTAAGGATTTCAGACTGCATTGATAGTGATTAGTGATGCTTGGATTCCTTTGGAAATGTTCATGCTCCGTATGTTGTCCCTTGATTTCACAGAATAAACAAAAGATAACATTTCAGATGCATGTATACGTCACTCTATTCAATTCACATGTGTTTGTCTCAAATGGTGTAATATATAGGCTAACCAGAAACCCCAAAATGTATTTGGACACTTAAAAATGTGTAAATGTCACATTTTTTTTTACTGTTTTAATTTTCTTCTGTCTGTCTGTTTGTGAAATAGTAATCTCACATACTTAGCCAAATGTAACTGAACCTTAAAGGTACAATATGCAAGATTGTTTCGGCACCAGGGTTCGCTAACCTCTTACAATAACAAAGGCGTATATTGATGGCGTATATTCTGCATTAAGTGGAATTATGCATCTTGTCGTCAAGCTGATGGATCTTTTATTATTGAGCGAATACATTTATGTTTTTAACATGACTAGTATGAAGCAGGCGCGATTGCTAGACGTATACCAGCGCCACAAGCAACGCGAGTACCGCGGATATAAAGGAATAAGGATATTTCATTCTGCGAACTACACGCAAGTGCTGAATTAATACTCACACAGGTCAGTTTATTAGAAGAATTAAACTTGAGGTAACACAGTGCTGCTTCACTTTCTCTAACAGTTCCACTATCACACTAAACGGCATTTGTGTGTGTTGAATGTTGTTAGGTTGTTTGTTGGCAGCATGAGACTAAGCTAGATTAACTTTAGAGAATAACATAGATCATATTCATATTCAGATCATATTCTAACTTTTCATCATGTTGAACCACATAACATTGATTAGTTTGTATATACATTTGCTCACCTGTTTGCTCAAGTAACATGCAACACTCGCATCTCTGTCAAATCGAAGTTAGTCGCGGACGTGGAGCTCTCGGCATCTCGAAAGATGTTGATCTTCGTTTTAGTCCTCTTTTTGTCTCAAAGTCTGCTTGCCATGGTCCATAATGTTTGAACAAAACCCTGCTAGGGACGCTCGCGCTGTTGAGCTCGCATAATGGGCAAAACCCACCCAGTTGTCCACGTCTGTCAAACCTGGCGGAAACCGTGGGTAACGCGGATATGACGCCATTGACTGGCGACTCCTCACCCCTGCTCACACGCCCCATTTCCTTGGTTAAAATCGAATTTTCTAAATCTCTGAAAATTCTTAAAATTTTCTCACGATTTACAAATAGTTGGAAACGTTTGGGATATTGTAAGTAATCAGCTAAACTAAATATACTGTATAAAATTGGCCTAGTGATTTTAGGATATTTTACTGCAAAAATCCTGCATATTGTACCTTTAAGTAAAAACGTGTCCATAGTTAAATCTGATGAACTAGTCCTCCGTGAACTTGAAGGGAACTGTCTTCACACTCCAGACCAGATAAAATTGTAATGAAAATCACTTGGAAAAATGTTGTAAGAAAAGGTCTAGCATTATTTGTTTGCCGATGCCACTTGATTTGATATTTTATGTCAGTGTCTTTGATACAAATTAAGCGTGACTTTAAAAAAAAAAAACTTGGTGGGATCATTATTGTTGGGTTAAATAGTTCTTTCTCAGTAGGCCCAAGGTGCAACGGTAGGGCAAATTCTTGTATAATACTGCATATTAAATTGCATTATTGTAGCTACTAAAATCAGGAATCTGAGACTGAGTCATACTTGTAAAGCTTCTAGTTTCTTGAGGACTTCCTTGTATCCCAGTGGAAACTATCCTGGAACACGAGAACCTGCACACAGAATGTTAACTGTAACAGGAAATTCCCAGATTGGTATTGACTTAGTTTGTGTGCTAGTGAACTTTTGAGTATCAAAAAATTCCTCCCAGAATTGACTCCCGATGTTTATTCCACATGCCTCATTAGTTATTTTAGTTTGGTTGGGAATGCTTGACATTTCTAATAACTTGTGTACGAAAAACCTCTTTGACCCTGGTAAATGCGTATCTTGCTAGCATAAGCAGGGAGTTTCTGGGAATAATGGCTATGTCAAGTGAGACGATCCAGGTGTGCCTATAATGCTCTTGTTTTTTACCAGAGCAAGGTGAGTATGTTAAATGCGACACACATGTACATGTTGAAGGTCTGGATGGGGTCATCATGGTAACAAGATCCTCAGTGTGCTCTCACTTGGTTGATTGGATTCGAGGGGACCCTTTCACAGACTTGAGCGTATTGACAGCTGGCTGGGAAATGTTGGCCCGCTCCTGGGCCAAAAATTGCTCGGAACGGGTATTGATTTAAATCAGTGTGTTGACTAATCGGACCTCGATCTGCTCGTGAAGAGCTCCAGACCCAAGCTGGATTTTGTGTATTTAATCAGCTGGGTCTGGGCCAGGAAACAAGGGCTCTCCACCGAGTAATGCTTCCCTGGGGATGCTGCGGTGCACTGACGGACACTCTTCTGCACTCCACCAGGACCGTCAGCAGAGGTATGTTGGGAAATGTAAGCCAGATGGCCACTTTCCATTATGTTGTCACACAAATGTGTTTTTTCTTCAACCATTGGGATTATCATTTTTCTGTCTTTGTTTTGTTGGTGCTGAGGTGATTTTGAGGAACTGACATATAATGTTATTGCCTCCCAATGCAGCTATTCGCCTGGATTTTGATGGTTTGTCCCAAGTTGGCGCAAATGACGTACGAAACATCATGTCCTGACATTGTGCTCCATGGGAAGTATCACTACATAAAGACAAGTGTAGTGTTTTGACAAGTTGGGATGATTCCCGTTCAAGTCCAGCAGGTGGCAAACTCTTCCCATGATATTTCCAAGCTTTCCAAAGGAATCCGCACCAAACGCACACGTGCAACCAAAGCAGCTACATGGACTGAGTGGCATAACAAACTTCCAATACATTTTTCCATTACAACCTCATTATTTTTTGTATATTTAGTTCATCAAGTTTGAATAAAGCATGTTTTTGTCTCCAGGTGCAGCTATAATGATTGTTCCCAGGTCAGGAAGTGGAGTTGAATTGGTATCCCTGTTTGGTGGGTACATTTTTTTGAAGAGAATTCGTCTAAGGTAATTTACAGTTTGTATTTTAAAACGTTATACTGCCGGCATAAGGAATACCCTCAAGGCTCCATCACTCACTCTTACAAACATGTCTTGTTTTATCTTTTTGCAGGAAACCCGAGGAGCATTCTGTTTTGAAGCCAGGCAATTAACATAATCCTAAATGCATCATTGGTGTCATTATCAGTTTCTTATGTAGGTTAAAAACCATTTCCTAGGTGAATAGTGTCAAGTCTCGGCTATCTCAAGGGATGTGACCTTTGTAGCAGAACCTTGCAGATCATTGGAGGATTAGGGAATTGTAAGCTGAAACGGGCACACATTAACCTGGCTGATTTATCAACTCTGAAAAGTGATCTGAGACCAACCTGAAAGTGATATGAAAATGTTTTTCTTACTTCACAAAGTAAGCCATCCATTGACACAGTTTTAGTTCCTCATTCCTCAAAATAACCATGCAGTGAATACCTCTCAAACAAGTGAACGGTATAATATTTCCAGGGCCCATGAAAGCACAAGAGAGTATTAATAATGATATCATACAATACAGAGATGAGCTTTGTTTTTTAGACTAGTGTCACCATAAGATGCATTATTGGATGTGATTTCCGCGGTGTGACCTGAATACACTGTACCAACTGGTATCAAGCACCCAAAGGACAGTCTTTTGTTTATTAAAGAACATTTAGTGCTCTGTTTATACATAAAGACTTTGGTGCCAGATACCCTCGAGCTCTTGATATGTATTTTTATCTGATTGACTTAACAGCGCCTGTAAAGTTTAAATCCTCACCCCAACTGTAAAAAAGTAATTTGAAGCAGAAAGTTCACCCACTTCTTCCGTTGTTTTTCCAAAGCATCTCCCTCTTCATCTGTGGTGTAGCCCTATGCCCAGACAGGGCTATATTCAGTCTCAACAATTATGTAAATGTAATGTTTGTATTTATAGGTCTAGCCACAGTTCTCTGGCATGGCAAAGTTGCAGCTGGGAAAGATTGCAATCTCCCTCAAGGCTTGTAACATCTACCCTTAGGCGAAACCACCGAGATCTTGTCTGAAGGATTGGAAAAGATCGATTGATGTGCTAACACACTGGACAGACACACGTTTATATCTCAATTAAGTTTAATATGTACATTAAGTACAATATTTACAGTGTATAAATTATGTACATAAAATGTTTGGTCCAGAACAACTCACATAGCCCTTATCATGTCATCCGAACATGGGACAGTCTGCAATTCACGTTAACAACATACAAATTTGTAAGAATACGTTAGAAAAAAAAGAGAAACGAAAAAACCATAAGACCCTGATTTTTAAATGTTTATGTCGATAAATGCACAAATTACTTCAATTACTTAAAAACATTCAGTTAACGCCCTTTTGTTAACTTTTAAGGCAGTTTTGAAAGAAGAAAACATTGTCTTACAAAGCTTATTTAGTTTCTTGAAACAATAGCATACGTTTTTTTCTTTAAATGCCAAGAGTATTTATGGCACTCGTGAGATGTATACATGAATTAAAAGGCACTCTTGTCATGTCCATAGTACATCATGTTAACTTAAACACATTTAACTGTCTGATTCCAGTTCCGTCTTGAGGTTTAGGTCCAGCCTAACATGAGTTGAACTTGTTTGGCATTTGTCAAGCTCTTTGGAAAAGGAAGATATATTTTGTTTCTTTAAAAAAATCTGGAAAGAAATGAAGTGTAGAACCAGCTACAATGAAAAAGACTGTGTGGGATTCAGCAATAGGTCAAGTCAGTTCATTTTTCTTCTTTTGTCATACTTTAAATAAAGGGTACAGACAAAATGCTTGCTTTGACATCCGTGATGTTCAATGTTCAGTGCGTTTAGTCCACATTTTCAAAGGCAGTTCCTACATATGGCGTTTCATATGGAGGGCGAGATGGTCGGACCGGGAGAAGGCGCGCTCGCACAGATGGCACTGGAAAGGTCGGTGTCCGGTGTGCTTGCGGAAGTGACGGGTCAGCTCATCAGAACGAGCAAACTTCCAGCCGCAACCATCCCAGCTGCAATGGTA